TCGGCCTCAGGATGCTGATCCCAGGATAGGATCGGACATGTCGGGCATTGTCTTGTCGCCTGTCATGGTCACCGGGGTGGCCTACCTAGTCCCTGAGGGTTTAGTCAAGTTTACCGTTCGCAAAATGGCGAAAGACTTTCTCCACGCTACGCATACATAGGACTACCGATTTCCAGGATGTCACGTGGCAATGTCCGGGCGGACAGGGGGGCAGGAGGACAGTAGAGAGGAGGGGATGGGAGGAAGGAGGATAGAGGAGAGGACGAAGAGAGAGGAGAGGGAGGAGGGGGAGGACGCGGGAGAGGAGCAGAAGCTTGAGAAGAGCAAACCTTGCTCGCTGTCTTCATGATGAAAGATGACTTGGGATGAACTTTGTTGAGGATGTTAACAACATCGCCCGGGGGTGTGCAGACACAGACATAGTCAAACTTCAAGTTTACAGCCTCCACGCCCAAGGCCGAACTTCGACGCCGATCGCCCGGCATGCCACTGCCACCTGCTCCCTCCTCCTGATCCTCCTGCTCCCTCCTCTCTCCCTCTGTACCTCCGTTGTCCTCCTGCTCCTCGCCCGCACGGACATTCCCACGTGACATCTTGAAATCGGTAGTCTTATGCATGCGCAGCAGCGCGAGGGCCTCCGACGTCCTCTTGCCACCCGCGATGTCTTCCTCGTTCCCCATCATCTCCATCCTCCTCCGCTTCTCCTCCCCATCACTGCCCTGCTCCTCTCCCCCCCGTTTCTTCGGGGAGGAAGAGACCAGCTCGACCTCAAACTTGTCCTCTGCAAAATTCCTCCTCACATGGCGCACTTGACAACCCCGACGGACGTCCGACCCCTCCAGCATCGCATCCACCACCGTCTTCAGCTGCGGTTTCCCCGCAAACAGCAGCGTGCTCTCCCCCATCCCCCGCGACGCCTGCGCGCGCTCAAACCCCCCTGGATGAGCGAAGCGATGGAGGTATGGCCTGCATGCTACATCAATTCCCTGCTCCCAGCTCTTGTCTTGCTCTTCCTCGTTGTCTATGTGATCCATTCACGTCTCCTTCATCTGCTGTTCCTCTCACTCGCGTCTTTCCTCGTCTCCTCTCTTCCCAAATCATTATTCTTCTATCCTCCTCCTCCTCCTCCTCCTCCTCCTCTCCTCCTCTCCTCCTCCTTTACCCTGTGATGTCGAAGTCTCCGATGCCGCTGCTTGACTCAGTGGACGTTGACTCCAGGAGGGCGCGGAGGTTGTCGACCGCTCGAGCCAGCTGAACGAGCTCGGGGCCAGACAAGATGCCCCTGAAAGTGCATGAGCCATTGCCGGGCAATGCAAATGCAGCTGAGAGGTGGACTAAAGAGAAGGAGGAGGAGGAGGAGGACAAAGAGGAGAAGGATTGGGGGGGGAGGAGGAGGATAAAGAGGAGGAGGAGGGGGGGGGATCGTGGTGGTGATGGTGGGCAAGTCGTTACTCTTCTTTTGCTCTTTGGTAATCTTGCTCAGCGCGTTGAAGCGCGAGACCTGTCTTCACGTCAGGATGGAGGAGGAGGAGGAGAGGAGGAGGAGAGGAGGAGGAGAGGAGGAGGAGAGGAGGAGAGGATGAGGAGGAGGAGGAGGAGGAGGAGGAGGAGGAGGAGGAGAAGGCGAAGGAGGAGGAGGAGGAGGAGGAGGAGGAGACTGTGGCTGCTTACCGGCATCGGAGGGAGTCTCAAGCATGCGATCCCACATGAAGCCGGAGATGCGATCAGCATGAGGCCCTCCGCTCAAGCTCTCCCCGTCCTTAGGCCCCATACGGATGTACCTGTCACAGCAGATGAGAAGGCGGGGAGAGGGAGAGAGGAAGATGAGGACGAAGCTGCTGCTCCTGCTGCTGCTGCTGCTGCTGGTGGTGGTGGAAGTGTTGGTGGAGGTGTTGATGGTGGTTGTGATAGCGATAGTGATGTTGATGAGATTTTCTCACTCTCGTGCAGCTGACAGCACGTAGGGGTTCGACAGGTTGAGAGGAAACGCGTCAAGCCTGTAGCTCTTTCCCGTCGTCTCCGTCATCCCGATGGCTCGAGAGGACCCGAAAGGGACGACGATCCCTTTTCTCACCCACTTGTCCACCTGCTCCCTAAACTCTCCTCCAACCGCGCTGAAGAAGCGGCAGCCGGAGAAAGAGTGTCCTCCACCAATCTTGTGCTTCACGCTCCTGACCCTCCCCCCTGTCTCCTCCCCGGCCTCGAAGACCGTCACTCGGATCCCAGAGTTCTCTCCCTTCCTGCTCAGGTACGCTGCGCACGAGGCCCCCGCTATCCCTCCTCCGATCACCGCCACGTGCACCAGGCTTTCCCTGCTGGGGGGCCGGCGGAACTTGGGATGGGCGGGAAGGGAATGAGGGAAGTGCTCATACATCTCGTCGCTGATCAGCACATCCTCCCTTGCGATCTCCTCTCCTGCGGGTGGGCCTCCCCCCATGCCCTCCCAGTACTCCGGCGGCTCCTTCCCTTGCTCAACCCAGCGGACGCTGATGTACTCGTTCACTTTGATGAGCCTGGACGGGGAGGAACATCAGTCCCTAGAGCATGCGGCCAAGGAAGGGGATCAGCAGCAAGAGTAAGGAGAGGAGAAAGAAAACAAGAAGCGGAGAGGTATACCAAGAAAAGAGGGGGGTCAAGGGGAGAGGAAAAATCGAAACTGACCTGCGGACAAAATTTCCCACCCAATCCGCACAAGCGTCCAGCTCAAACTGGTTGGAAGTTCTTCCCACCCAGACCCAAAGCAGCGAGTCTCTGAGCTCTAGGAAGGAGTAGGAGGAAGGATCCTTACGAGGGTCCCCGGAGGAGTTGAGGAGGATGAAAGTGTCCTACGAAAGTGGATAAGACGCTGGCCACAGCTCGTCCAACAGACTCACCCCGCTGTTGAGCGACTTCCACGTGGGGCTCATCCACTCAAGCCGAACGTCGAGAGCTGCTCCTTTGAATCTTCCCAGCTTCCTTCCCCTTGATAGACACGTCATTCGACAGCAGGGAACTCTCGTCAGAGGGCATACGTCGGAGGAGGAGGCTGGATTGATTTTGACAACCTGTACGCCAAGCTCTTGTTCCAAATGTGGTTGACGTTCGCTTGTATCATGCACCTTGTCTTCATGGTCATTCTCTCGTTCAAACAGCTCGCAGCTTCATCTTCATCACCTTAGTCCGGTCAGGTACCAATGCTTCCCACCCTCGTCTCTCCGCAGCCTTAGCGTGAACCTGTTCTCCCGTCACCACAGCACACGTCCACGACCCTTGCCATGACCTCCCCTCGTTCAGGTTGACTGACATGGCATTCTTTTTTGTGTTCCTTGTCAACTTGACAATGTCGAACTCTCAGACAAGACAAGGAGGGTGAAAGCAGGACAGACCTCCACGTTCTCTTCAATGAAGTTGAACGAGAATTCCTCCATCTCCTCGAAGTGTCCAGTCCACAATGCAACGTGCACTCCAGTGACCTGCTACAGGTGAACATCCCTGACTCCGTACTCCAGCGTTACCGACACTTTGATGTCAACACCTTCAGGAAACTCTTTGGTGGACGGCATCGGCATCCCTTGAGTGGGGCGGTCGCCGAACCCGGAGTTTAAGTCCGCGTTGCCGATGTTGTCTTTCTCGGCTTTGTTCTTCTCTTCTCTCTTCTGTGACCTGAAGTTGAGCTCTGCCTCCAGCACCTCTCTGAGTTTAAACTTATGCTCCACATATTCATCGAGCGTTGGGGCCCTCAGTTTGGCGGCAGGGATGAAATCAGGCCTTGATGCCATCATCTGCTGATGCTGCTTCAACGGTTCAGACGCGTCTTTACCCCAACAGAAGAAGGACCATGAGATCTTTCAAGTGCGATTCAGAGTTGGTGAGTTTCAAGCAACGTAGAACTCCTTCCTTGCCATCTGTGACGTAGTTTGCTCCGAGTTTGTGATCGTCCGCATAAGCGAACAGCCATGCATTACGCAGGTTACAAGCAGCTGCTTGCTCCTGTCAAGATATCAGGAGAAAGACGATGTTGCTCCACTTGCTCAGATGGTAAGAGGCGGCACCTGCTCTGCTTGAAAGTAACTTTTTACCTCAGCCCCGTCTGTATTGGAATCCGGGAAGCCCACAGGCTCCTTGGGTGACGTCAGAGTCTCGCAGCACCGCACGCTTATCGTCTTGAAGTCTCACTCACCTCGCTCAGGGGGATCTCCTCGCAGAACTCGTACAGGTCTCCTATCTTCACCTGCCAGAAGCTCAGGCAGTCCCCGATACCAACGGGTGGTAACCATGAGCTTGGCACGGCGATGACGCCAACCATTACCAATGATCATCCTCCTTGGCACAGGCTCCTTCAGACGTCACTTCCTCTCCTGCTCTGCTGCTTCCCCGCTCCCCTCCTGAGCAACCATGGCCAGTCTTGATTGCTCAGTCCATGAAGGATCCCAACAACGGGTCAAACTTGTCAACGGCAGGTCAAATGGCGTCTCGCTAAAAACTCTAAAAAATAGAGTAGGGTGGGGTAAATTCAGTACGGGTTAATTTATAAATCCAGACAACAGGAAAGTATCGGGTAGGGTAGTCTTGACCTGAGGAATAGGTACATCAAAGAATGAAGGGAGCAGTGGGCATCCATGGCAGTGATCGAGCAGGACCAAGGAAGATATGCTGGCGCTTAGGGCAAGATGCATGTTTGATGCGTCTAGCGACAACTCTGATGTATCCTAGAAGCATGTTTGATGCGTCTGGCGACAACTCTGATGTATCCTAGAAGCATGTTTGATGCGTGTAGCGACAACTCTGATGTATCCTAGAAGCATTTTTGATGCGTCTAGCGACAACTCTGATGTATCCTAGAAGCATGTTTGATGCGTCTAGCGACAACTCTGATGTATCCTAGAAGCATGTTTGATGCGTCTGGCGACAACTCTGATGGTCATCGCTGAGATCTTTCTTTGCAGCTTCAAAGGATGTCGGCCGCCTTCGAACTTGCCCGCACCTCAGAGGAAGAGCGAATTCAGGACCTCTCCATTTCCAGCTCGATCAAGACCTTGCAGGGCCTGGTGCTGCAGCTCACCTCGCACCTGTGAGCATCGAGGTCTGACATCTTAGCAGACTTCCACGATCATTCCGGAGGCGAAGAAGAAACAGGTCACAGCTCCTCAAGAGCCCTTCTTCGGAGTCGGACTTTCCGTGTCTCACAAGACTCTGGTGAGTGAAGGCGCAATGCTACGTGACTTGACGTTGTGTGCTCAGCAAGTTGAGGATGTCGTGCAAGGCTGGGCCTCTGCAAGCTGCGGGCTGATCTGCGTCGGCGACCGGCTGTTGTCTATCGATGGGAGGGAGGTCGAAGACATTGAAGATGTCAAACGACTCATACCCGGGAGGTTGATAGCAACCCTAGAGCACAACAAGATGTGAGCGCGTGTCAGGTTGGGAACGTATGTGATAGTTGAGCTCTCGCGCATCGAGGGGGAGTTGAACAAAACATTCAAGGTACTTTTCGGACGTGTCAGCTCCTAAGACTTGTTGACACCCATCCAGGTCGAACTGATGCGAGGGAATCCTACTTTTCTGGAGGTTTATGAGAAGCATGGGCAACTTCTTTATCAAAACGAGAAATTGTATGTGACTTGTTGTCTGCACGGGTTGACGAGGATGGGATTATCAGGACAGAAGACTTGGAAGACCTTGCGGTTCGGAGCTCGCAGGAGATCTCCGCGTTGAAGTCGGAGGTGACATGTGCTTGCCTGCGTCAACTTCCCTTGATCACTGCACGAGAAGATCGAGCGACTGCGATCAGAACTCCGTTCCAGTCAAGAAGCCCAAGGCCGAACCAGCCTTGCGTGCAAGTCCGCGATCGCTGAAATGGAGCCTCTACGGTAATGCGTTACTCGTGTCCGGGGCCCTGATGCTGGGATGGCTGACGTTGTGCGCCCAGCGATGAGGTCTGGAGAGTCTACGAGACCCTCGCGAGAACTCAAAGGGAGCACAACGAGCTGAGCAAGTCCATCGACAGTTACAAGAAATGCCTTGAGTGCGCCCGGCACAGGGGGAGGGAGGACAAGCAGTTTGTGTACTACAACGAGATAGGAGAGATGCTGTTCCAGCTGGGAGACTACCTGGGGGCCATCGGCAGCCATTCACAAGCGGTGGACATAGCGAGACGGACAGCGATGGATAAGATTCAACTGACAGACTGTCGGCTGAAGATGGCGTTTAACTACATGAGATTGAAGGAGTTCAAGACTGCCCAGGATCTGTTTGAAAGCTGCCGTGAGGATTACGTGATGCTGTATGGCGAAGACCATCCCAACGTGGTCACTACCAAAGAGCAGTTGGATCTCTCCATCAAGTCGCAGCCAAAAGAAGAATGACTCAGTGTTGGTTCTGGGATTTTAACGTTTGATACAATACTCCTCGCTCTTTCTTTGAAGTTGTTTTCCAATTGCTGAGAAATCACCAGAATCGTGAGTGTTCTTGCACCCTTGTTACTTCACTGACACCGAACCATCGCCATCCTAAACTTTGATTCACGATTGTACGTAAAACCGAAGCACGATGGTAGCGTCAGTGGAGTTTTCTTCTACTTTGTGTTTTAGACTGCAATTCATTAGAGATCTTCTAGATTCCTTGCTCTCAACTTCTTCTTGTTTCCTTGCGCTCAACTTCTTCAAGATTCCTTGCTCTCAACTTCTTCTAGATTCCTTGCTCTCAACTTCTTCTAGTTTCCTTGCTGTCAACTTCTTCTTGTTTCCTTGCTGTCAACTTCTTCTTCTTGTTTCCTTGCTCTCAACTTTCATCATCCTCTTCTCATTCAGATCACCTTCCCTCCCTTCCCTCTCGCCTCCTGTTCCTGCCGCTCCTTCCTCCCGTGGTTGGCACTGGAACCACCGGTAGGATCGCATGGACGAACAAGTAGGGGAGGAGGGTAGGGGATGTGCTCAATACCGTACCCTCTGTGATGCCTATCAAAAGATACTACCCTACGTATTTCCGGGATTTGTACCCTACTTTTCCCATGAGAGGGTTGGTGTCCGATGCAACCACCCCTAATATGTAGCTACCCTACCCTCTATCCCCCGTCTCGTCTCCGAAGCCGCTTGCCTGCCATGTACGCGGCGTTTCCCCGCGGCTGGGAGAATGCGCAGATCTCCTCGTCTCAGCGCTCCTCCATGCAGTCGTCGCAGATGTCTCTCTCCCAGCACTCCTCTAGCTCCTCCCAGCTCTCTGCCCAGCTCTCTGCCCAGCTCTCTATGCATCGAGACTCCCGCGACTCCCGCAGCTCCCGCGACTCCCGAGGATCTCGCAGCTCGTCGGAAGGGATCAGGATCAGCGGAGCCAACGGTATCAGCTCACCTGCCACTATGCTCACATTCTGATGCAGCTGCGCAGAGATGGCTGGTGTTGGGATCTTCTTCCAGCAAGAGCCCATGTCCGGCAGGGTGTACGTCGCCAGCATCGTTGAGAATGGTTCCGCAGACAGGTCTTCATCCACGACCTTCAGTGGGACCTCTGAGTGATCTGACTCAACAGGTCGGGAGTCATCAAGGTGAATGACGTCATCGTCAAGGTCGACGACGAGGACGTCCAGGGGCAACCGCTCTCCACTCTCAGGAACCTCATCCTCGGCAGGCAGGGTACCTACGTCGTTCTTGCGTTTCGCAGGATGACAGGGACAGAGCTGTACTACTACGATGTTGAGCTGGTGAAGAAGCGAGCGAGCGAGCGATGAGAGCTGCTTGACTTGATCTTCAAGGTGAGGGGAACCCCGGAGTACTTCGAATCTTTGAAGAAGAGCCAAGCTGTGGCAGAAGAGAAGGAAAAGTTGCTGGTGCAGGTCTGTGAAACTTTGGGAGATGATGCATGGAGAGCTGAACTGATTGTGATGGTCGTACAGGTCAGACAACAAGAGCAAGACATCATCGCCTTGCGCCATCAAAACACTCAGATGCAGCGAGGGTCTGATATCAGCGAATTAGATAGTCTGAAGCGGGCGATCGCACAGAAAGATGAGGTGTAGGAGTTGAGGATTGATTCATTCGATCGCTTATGTTTGTGCAGGAAATCAAAGGATATAACGAGGCCATTAGCAAACTCTCAAAGCCTGCGGCTTCCATGTCTCCGACAGCAGCAGAAAACAGCTTCTCGACCTCGAGCATGCGATTGGAGAAGGAGCGGTTGAAAGAAGATCTCGTGCAACTCACGAGAAAGCTGGAGATTTTGAAACAAAGGTGAGGCCCTCATTGCTTCCAACCCCTTGTTGAGTATCAGCCTGCTAGATATGATGAGACTGTGAAGCAAAATCGGGAAGAGGGCAAAATGATGCAAGCTTCGATCGAAGGCGAGATAACTGCAGCAAACTCGTTTTCACACAGCCTCGACAACGAGAATGACATGCTGTCAAAGATCAGGGAGGAGCGGAATGCGGTTCGTGCACTACTAGTGCATCCCTGCTGCGATCTCAGTTGAATCCCGTCCCACAGATCAGCCTGCACGCGTTCACTAAGGCAAAAGAAGGTTGTGTGCTGTTGAAAGAAGCAGAGAGCAACAGTCAGAATGTAGTTCATACTCTCCAGGCGAGCTGTTGTATCCGTTGAAATCGCAATGACACTGCAACAGGAAGCTCTTTCTAGCCTTGACATGATCTACGCACAAGTATTCGCATCCCTGGGACGTGATGGTATCAAGTGATCAGACGAGAATGGTTTGCTGGGTAATATTGCCATCTAATATGTGTAATGCACACTTGACCCTCTCACTCTCTACAGAAAGAATGTCAACATCATTCGTTTAAGTTGAATGTTGCTCCGAGTTTAGCTGAGTCGTGATGAAAGATACCGATGCAGCAATCACATGCATGAATACTATGTCAACATTGGCGAGCAAAGTTCCCTGTCATTAATTACATGTGATAAAAAAGAAAAGCCAGGACGGTATGATACATTTATTTTACACTCCACAAGAAACACAATCTCTGTCACAGCACAGATAAATATCGATTCTTCTTCGACTTGTGCGTCTTCGTGCCGTTTGCATTTGCTGCATGTGAATAGTCAGCATCAATCGGTGAGTCGAAGGGTTTGCAACCTTGGCTTCGGAACATCTTGAGGGGTTCTGTTCGCCGCCCTAAGAAACAAGAGTGAGGAGGGAGGCGAGCGAGCAGGGCTTGACCGGGTTGAACGGCAGGAATATGAAACTGAGCGAGGCTGCTCCCGTTGAGAGAAGAGCCCCTGCTAGAAAGGTTAGGGGCCAACCACTGGACTATCTGGCGAGACCTCAAGTTATGGATGGGAGGAGCCGAAGTCGATCTGGCATCAGGTTGAACTCCAGCAGTGATGGTGCCCTGTGGAAATCTTGAGAGGATCTCTGAGAGAAGTTCGATAGAGTTACCCGTGAGTACTGATTGTTCCAAATGTTCCTAACGTCTTCATCGTCGTCCGGCAGAAGAAAACTTGGATCTGTCTGCTCCATCTGCTTCCAGGACAACGAGCTGTCCTGAGGTGTAAGCTCGTCCTTGCTTTGAGACTGGAAGCTCATCTCGCCATGCGCTGCTCCCCTTCGTCCTTGCATGTTCCCCCTTCCATCCTGGGCCAACCTCCGCTTGTCTACAGCTGGAAAGACATGCGGATTGCTGTGCTCAGGCGTGATGGAGCTCTTTGCGTGCATCGCTCGCTTCTTCCACGTCTCTGTCAGGCGGGTAGCATTCTGTACCTTAGAGTGCAGAGACTCTATCTCCTGGTGGGGGCAAGTGAGTGCGAGAGGTGGGGTTCAACCACGAGGACGGCACAAACCGATTCGAGGGTGAGATTCTTGTCTCTCAGCCTGTCGGTCTCTTGCGACTTCTTCCGGTACATGTCCCTGGAGACACTGTCACGCGATGATCTCTTCACAGAGCCGACAAGTTGAGAATGGCAGCCACCTTTCAGTCTTTGCGTCCTTGAGATTCTGAAGCAACGTCAGGCTGGTACGCAAAAGAGATGGTTCACCTGGTCTAAACTGGCGCATCTTTCCCTGCTCTCGAGCAATTCTCTCTTCACCTGCAGAAAACGATGACAAAACTCAATGGTCAAGCTGCTGCGGTTGACACCTGAAGAAGTTCTTTCGTCTGAAACTCCAAAGTCTGCAACGGTACCGTAAGAAACGTGCGGTCCAAGAAACATGGTTGCACTTTCCTGCTGTGCCAGTCCATACTCCAGCTTGACCTTGCTATGCTGCAGCTCCAGCTTCATTCCGTTTGTCAGTGTCGTCTACACAATCTCAACACATGCACTCACTTGTTCGAACCTGTCCATCAGCACAGATATGTGCTGCTGTCGTTCTTCTTGCTCACGAATATTGTTGCTGGGAGGAACATGACGATCAAAAGAGCCAACAAAGCTGAACCGTATCAGATCACCTCCCCGCCGCTTGATTCTTCTTCACGTCATCTGACCCAGCGTTCTGCAAGCGCACAGTGACCATTCTATCAGGACCGATCGTCCTCTCTACCTCCGCAGACAGTTGCCCAGTGACATCTTGCAATCGTTGTCGGAATTCTTTTTGCAGTTTGATCTTGTGTTCAATCAGACTCTCCTTCGTCGAAGGGTGAGGAAACTGTTTGACATGAAACTAAGAGGTACCTTGAGATTCTCCATCTCCTCCCTGTGCCGAAGATCCTTTGACTTCATCTCGTCGTGTACCCTCGACACTTCTTCTTTGAGAACTTTGTTCTGCTCCTCTACCACTGCATAGACTGCAAGCTGGTCTTTCATTCTCTTGTTCTCTAGGATCATCGTCGTGGCCTGGTAGTCCATCTCTGCTCTCATACTGATGGACTCGTCGAACACAATGCCCAACTCGCGCTCATGTGCATTGTTTTCAAACAATACCTGCAGGTAGTCACGGAAACAACACAGTCGGGAGCAAGCAGCCTTACTTGCCGCTTGAGCTCCTCCAGCTCTTTGTGCGCCTGCTGAAGAGTCGCAGTCAGCTGCTCCACTCTAACCTGCAGCTTCTCCTGCTCGCAGACGGGTCAGCAATTCAGTCAGAGGTTGGTTCGCAGCACCTTCTCTTCCCGCTCATGCACTATGATGTCCACCAGGATGTTGCTGGGATGTGCTTTCAAATCTTCCCCCTCCATATTTATGGTGATGGCCGCGATGCAGCTAGATCGACAACTCGTTCGCCACCCTTTTCAAAGATCGCCGCCTTCCGCATTCACCACCATCCTCAACATCTGCTGAACACGAACAAGGAGCCTCCACCATCATGGTCCCTCAAAATCATCTGCGTGCATGGCGTCTCAACCCACCGTGACCTCTCGTCCTCGCGTTAAACGCTCGCTGCCTTCGTTTCCAACACAGCCATTGCTCCAACGGATCTCCACCGACCCGCCTCACTGAAATATCAGAGACAGCAAATGGATAAATAGCAGGTCCGTCACTTGAAAACAAACGACGAACGCACCGCTTCGGATTGTTGCTGTGGGACTTTATGAAGCATTTTCATCTTTTATCGAAGAACATTTATGTGCACCCCACCCTCCTCCTTTTTCCCTACCTCACCGGTACACAGTGAGAAGAAGACAACGATTCGCATTGTTGCTGGTGCGGTTTCACGCATGTCGATCACCGCGTTGCCCTGCAAGTTCACTCGGAACGGCGACGGTCACCTGTGGTACTTTCAAGGCGCAACAATCCGAAGCGTTGCAGTACTAACAGGTGGTAAGATCTGCCGCAGGGTGTTGAACCCGCAGGCTGATATCATTGATCTTGTGCCGTTCTCCTCCCACACGGTCACCTTCGAGCTCATCAAGCCTTGTCCCCAGCCACCTCCCTGTTGCGAAACTTGCCAGGACTCCTCGCCATGGGTTCCGACTCTCGGACTCACTCCTACTGTCATGAGGTGTCACGTACGGTATCAAATACATGACCGACTCATCATGCGGGACTTTGATCAGGTTGCTGCAGGACTTTTGTAATCCGATAAAGTTCATCGATATTGTCCCACGCATGAGGGACTTTCATGAAGCAACAATTCCAATCGTTGCGTTTCGGACGTGAAACAGCTTAAAACGGTGCCGTGCAAGATTTGCTGTGAACGCGGTTGAGAATGTTTGTTGCTCTATTGTTTTGAAGCATCTTGTACTCTTATGATGATGAATCATTTGATGTTTTCCTGTATCAGTCTTCGTATGCTAAGTCGCCTTGACGAAAATCCAGGATGATAGTAGGTTGCAACGGTCGTGAGGTGCAGCCGCAGTCGCGATCAGATGCTTGAAGTTCGCAGCCTGAAGGACCGGTCAACATCGTACTGAAGGTTAGAAGAAACAAGGGACAGCATGATACTCAGTAGCTCACTTGCAGTCTCCTTGCTCAGCCATCCTCGTCGACCACACGCTGAGCGCCATGAAACATCAGCACTCTACTGGCCGCAACTGTGCTTTGCCAGCTTCACCAAGGTACCCCACCCTCCAAATCTCCATTCATATCACCCGTGTGTAGCAGAATTTGACGAACGCAACGTTTCGGATTGTTGCTGTGGGACTTTTATTGGGAGGGACTTCGTTTTCCAGCGAACATTTTGTCTCTACCCCTACCCTCATAATTGTCATCTTATGTACCGGTATTGAATTGACAATGAGACAACGTTTCGCATTGTTGCTATCGTTGGATCTCTGGTGGTCAAGGACATTGAGGGACATTTGTTGGTCCTGCACTGCAGCAACAATCTGAAGCGTTGCCATTTAGACACATCAACACTTCCACCGCGCGGAGATCACTCACTCTGCCGGCCCGGCCTGGCACTGCGGCAACGCCCGGCCCGCCGATCATCATACTCGGCCCGGCCGGGCCGGGCGGTGTTTTTAACTTCAATTCAGTGCTACTCAGTACTTGCCGCTTAACTTGATGTACGGTAGTAGGCTACTTTCAACAGTGACGCGGGGTAGCCCGGGCCCAGGCTGAGGTGACCGTCACGTAGTCACGTAGTGCCACGGTGGTGACCCGGTACGGTAGCGGCGAACCCGCCCCGGCGTTGAACCGTGGCCGCCGCGCACCGTCACTGACCGTACCGTACCGGACTCCTCACGAGTCACGCCGCCGCGGCCGGCCGCCCAGTGCCAGTGCCGTGCCACGGTGCCGCAGTGCGGCAGTCACTGGCATCCGCCGTCCGACCGTCACCCGTCGGATCAGCCGCTCAGACTGAGCTGTCGGTAACGGCAACTTGCGTTGCATTCTGAACCGGCTTAGTATCCGCTGACTTCGGACGCGGGCGTAAAGACGATATCAAACTTCAAACCGGGAGTGCAGGCGGGCCTGACCGTCCCGGACAGCCCCAGCCTGATCCACTCAGGTGACTCAGTCGGCCAGCACTTTGACTCAGACGGTGACTCAGCCGAGTCAGTAAGAGGCTGAGAAGCGACGAAACCGTCAAGGCGTGGAAAATGCGAGTCGGAAGTGCGCTGTCACTGATGCGGGGAGCAAAGCCTGGCCCGGATATAACTGCGGCAGTGCCAGGGTCGGGGTGCATCATCAGTTCAGCGCCGAGCTCAGCCGTCAGGTCCTGTATCTGACACGTCCTGGACTGTCAGAGGAGCACGGTCAGCTGCTTGAACGCGCATCAGAGGAGGCATGAAGAGGGGGACCGGGACCCAGTCGGCCCATGCTTGAAGACATGAGGGGGGAGGAGAGCGATGGGAGCGAGCAGGAGGAACTTGAGTGACTTACCGACAGCAAGAGGAAGAAGGTCGTGATCGGAGTACCCAGCTTGTGCGCCTGATGGGATAGCAAGAAAACAGCGACTCAAATGGAACAAGAACACTTAGTGATGTCGAGGACCGTCAGAGTGAGTCCCGCAGAACTCTAGATGGTACGACGCGAAGTAGAGCAGCAGCGCTCCAACGCATGTCCACTGGCCCACGGCTCCGTATGATATCTGCGGACTATACTTGAGCCCGGAGGGAGGGAGGGAGGGAGGGAGGGAGGGGAGGACTGGACCTCTTCAACGGTTTTCTTGGGACCTGTCAGTTAACATCGTCAGCATCTTCCCGCAGCCAGGAGCGGGTCAAGGTGCTTCACCAACTGAGGAGGCTGGGTGAGGAATGAAAGCAAGGAAGAACGGGGCGAGCATAAGGAACGTCAAGACCAACTTCAGTCTGCTACATCTCGTCAGTTGTAGCCATCCTCCTTCCATCCCTGCTCGCCTCTTTGAGAAAGTCGAGGAGGGGAGGGCATGGGAGCGGAAGAGCAGGATGTCCATCGTGATACAGTGAGCATAACCTGCCAGTGAGCATAAGATGCGTTTCAATATCAGCTCCAGCAGTACCAGCCAAGAACAGCACCAACGCTCCAGTCTGATGTATCATACTCTGCGCTCCAACCGGTTGAGAGATCTGCAGGGTACAAACATTCGGCATCACCTGCGCTCTTAGCTCTGCCTCCCTCTTGATGACATCGAAGATGTTCGATTGCAGAGGGATGGTCGCCTGCAAGACTCACCGTCATCTCCTCTCCTCGCTCTGCTGACTGCATCGAGCATGTACTTGCACTATCAGACCCATTGCTGTGCAACGAGAGCGTAAGCCCTGCTCACCTCTCCCCACCAGCATCATCACCTGCAATGAGGGAGAAGTAGTAGGAGATCTTAGCCAGACTAGACAGCATGTGAGTGAGCGCTCTTGTTCATCCATCTTTGCTCGTCATACCACTGGAGGTGTGATTCTGCCCGCCACAGGAAGGTGTCCTTGGCATACCTATCAAGTCTTCTCAGATGCTGCGTCGATCGCAACACCAAGATCACTTGGCTGAAACACAAATTCCTATGCTGGTCAGCCTGCGCAAGTTCGCTATGTCAAGAGTACAGGCTCGACTGACACCCATCACCAGAATCCTGCGAGGTATAGCCATCTTTCCGGAGCTAGCGCGCCATTGAGAGATATGAATGGAAGCCACATGCCTCATACACAGGGTCAGCACCTTGTCGAGAGAGGAGGGGGCGCGAGGGCTCCACCTTCAGGAATGTGATTGTTCAGCACAGCCAGCGCGTATGTTCCAAATAGCGTGACTAGTCCACAGACCAGCGACTGCGAGCGAGCATGGAGTCACTTCCACCATCGTCGCCGCATGCATGGAAGGAACCACTGAAGGAGCGAACTTGCCGTATCTTCTCACAAACCTGCTGCATGTCAGCGCGAAATCAGTCATTGTCGTCCGCCTACATGTTGAGGTGCATTTCCTTGCGCCCTTTATAATCCCAAGTGGGTAGGGTTTCAAGAAACAGGGGTACTTTGAAGTTAGGATATGGGGTTTAAATGTGAGGGGGGTGGTACATTCGGAGGGTGGGGTCCAATTGAAATTTCGTTCTTTCTGTGGAATGTTGTGGCGGCATGAGGAAAGTGGAAGGAAGGAGGAGGAGGAGAGGGGGAGGGGGAGGGTGAGAGAGGCAGCAAGCTATCGCATCTCCTAAACACCGAGCTAAAAACGATGAGGGGTGAAGTGATCAGGCTCGGGTTGATCCTTTTCCTTGGGCTGGTTTCCGCATCAGGTATGGCCTGTGCCCTCCTCTCCTCCTCTACCTCCTCCTGCTCACGGGGAGCTGCTACTCGTAGAACGATGCGAATCTCCCAACTACATGAAGACTACAGCATCTTGGAGGGCACACATGGGCACCAAGAGCCCATATCAACTGAATCACACTGCAGTCTTTACTACGCCAGGTTTTGATTTCAGGCCCCCAACGATGCTTACAAACGTGACGCAGGGACAAAAGTTGCAGAAGCCCCTATCGTATCTGAAGTAGAAGTCAGAGATGGAAGACCCCATGAGAAGACCCTCACTCCAGGTATTGGCAGGGATCGACCAACGACTCTAATGTGTGTCTGGGGCAGGCGACAAGCAGCACGGCGGAGCGAGCTCGCGCAGCTTGCCAGGTACAAGAGAAGCTAGCAGGAGCCATGCTGAGAGTTTCCATGTCTAGCGCCCAAAGTGACGAGACCAAGGTTCCAGTCGATGAGGGAGGACGTTCCGAGATCCGAGGTCCGCGGCCTCCCTGTCTCATGCTGGCCTTGACACTCTCGAGAAGCGTCTTAGCGAGGACTCGATCGTGGAGGAGCTCACGGGGAAGATGAAGGTCACCCGTGAAAGGCTGCAGCTGAGGAGAGAAAATGACACCTCCTCCCTCTTGTCTCCTTACGTTACCTTGACCTTTGCTCAGGTCCGCACGATGAGGTTTTGGATGTTGAAAGTGACCATGCTCTGCAGACTTTGGACGGCAGCATAGCAACGCTCGACAGACGCCCGTTGGAGATCAGCTGCAACGAGTCCATGGTCATGACCCACCACCTGCGATCTGTGCATGATTGCATCCTGGTTTGTTCCGAGCCTGCATCTCACGTGCTCCCTCCTCCCGGTCTGGCCTTGAGCCGCGTTTGACAGGTCGGCATTGGAACGGTGAGGAGTGACGATCCGTCTCTGACTGTCAGACTTTGCAATGGGAGCAACCCGAAGCCGGTGAGCTGCTGTCTTCAACCGCTCTCCTCAGGGTTCAATCTGTACTTCAGCCCACCTTGAACTTGTTCTCCTTCATATGTCGTGACTTCACTGTCATCAGGTCGTTCTGGACCCGAGACTGACGATCAGGAGAGACTGCCGGCTCTTGTCTTCACCTGCTTGTGTCAGGCCCATCGTTGCTTGCTCACGAGGTTTGCTTGCCTCCTACAATCTCACCGCCTTCTCCTTCGCCTCTTCCCTTTCTGTCCTCTCCTAATTGCTTTACCTCCCCCAAGAACAACAGCGCCGCCCTCTCTGCTCTTCCCCCTCCCTCTCTCTCCCTTCACTCCGCCCTCTCTATTCTTCTCCCCTCTGCCCTCCCCTGCTCCTTCTCACTTGCAGCAGACCTGGTGAATTCTTCTCGAGCGGTCGAGCTTGAAGCTCTAGGGTGTACAGTGATGGGCTGTGAATTGCAAGCCAATGGACATGTAGATCTTGTATCTGTGCTTTGCGGACTTGCTTCCCTTAGGATGAAATCTGTGATGGTGGAAGGAGGAGCACAGGTTTGATTTCCTTGCCTACACTCTTTCTCTCTCCTCTCCTCTCCTCTCCTCTCCTCTCCTCTCCTCTCCTCTCCTCTCCTCTCCTCTCCTCTGCTCTGCTCTGCTCTGCTCTGCTCTGCTCTGCTCTGCTCTGCTCTGCTCTGCTCTGCTCTGCTCTGCTCTGCTCTCCTCTCTGTTTTTCACCCTCAATCTCCTCCCGATCCCATCCTTCCCTGCCTCCTTCCCCTCACTCCCGTCTCCCATCTGCTTTCGGTGCTTCTGTCTCGTCCCTGGTTCTCAACTTCGCTCAGGTCATTCGCTCGTTCCTCACATCTCGTCTCGTCAACTCTGTCATCATCACCGTCGCGCCCAAGTTGGCAGGAGGATTGTCAGCCCTCAGCAGGCCGCCCCAAGTTGAAACGTTTTCATCGTCAGGAGATGTGAAGGGCAGGGCAGGGCACGGAAACAAGGAGGATAAGGGGGATCATCAACGGGAGCAGGAAACAAAGAGCAAGCGCTTCTCCTTTCCCCATCCTCGTTTCATCAGGAGGGCATGGCAAAAGCTCTCTTGCGGGGCAAAGCAGCTACTCGACAGACTGTTGCAGCAGGGGGAAACCAAGGTGAGGGGCATAAGAGTTGACCTGCTCTGATTCTTGTCCACGTTAATGTCGTAGCCTCATTGTCCTCTTCTCCTTTCTCTTCCTTTCTTTCATCATGCTGTCCTCTCCTCCGATGTCGCCCTCTCAGTTCCAACAGGCGGATGATTCCTCCAACTTTGACCTGCTGACCCTCCGAGACGTGCGATATGTGCAAGTGGTGAGAGTTTGTTTTGACTTGTCCATCATCGCAACTCACTGGAATGTGCAGGGAGTGGATATGATTGTTCACGGCACTTTGTCATGATCCTTCTTCCCAGCATTCGAAAACTAAGATCTTTCAGATGTGCTCTGCACGTTTTCAAATCTTCTCATCGTTGTTTAACAAATAAAAATCTCGTCCTCCACTCGTTGAGCACTCACGAATTCTTCGACATGAAATTCTTCACCTTCTCTATCGCTGCCTGGACCTGCGGTAGGTGAGAGGACTGCAGCCCTGCGACTAACACGCTCCACCTCTGGCTCCGCTGCAAACTTGTTGGCCGCTGACGGATCCTTCCAAACACGTAAGTCACTTACGACCTCCCTGCTGCTGCTGCTGCTGCTGCTGCTGCTGCTGCTGCTGCTGCTGCTGCTCCTCCTCCTCCTCCTCCTCCATTCTCCACCATCACCACCTTCTCACCTTGAGAACTTCTTGCGCCATCCGCATCACCTGCATGAAGATGAGCGGGGAGACATGCTGGCGGATGAATCGGAAAGTCACCGTCGGATTTCGCAGGGCCTGCAACAACTCTTGATCCTGCCCAGAGTCATAAGACGAAGAGCCGGCAAGAAGAAGAGCGGAAAGAAAGGAAAGATATCGAGGGGAGAGAGGGCAATCGAAGGAAGAGGGGATAGGATAGACTGGGAGGCAACCAAACACGGAGGTACAAGGGAGTGACAACAGTGGGTGTTGGGGTAGAGACAACCTGAAGGATAGCCTGAATCTTGTCCTTGCTCATGATATTCTTCATCATCTCCTGCATCATTCCCGACATCACTCAGGGAGGTGGGAGTATCGAGGCGACGTCACCGGATCAAAGATCCTCGAATCCTTCTTGTTCTGTTGAGCCTCCTCGGCATTAACTTCCACCGCAGACTCCACGCCAGCCTCCTTCTCCTGCAAGCATCTTCTTCACCCCCCTCGTCGATGTGACAGTCGGCACGTCTCGTGACGAACTCACATCTTCTGCCTGCACTTCTCCCTCTCCTACCGCCTCGGCCGCGAGCTGTCCGCCTCGTTCACGCCAGTCCCACATGGAGCCTCACAACTTGACTTCACCTGAAGGCGAGCCTCCACAAGTCGAGCAACAAGATCTGCAGTCCAGTCACATCCTGATAGTCCGCCAGCTTCCCACCTTCTTTCTCGAAGCAATCATTGAACGACACCCCCCTTGTCACCAGCTCCTGGTCAACTAGTGAGGACGTGAGAGCGCTGTGACTGACAACCTGCTTGATCTCCTTGGTGCTCAGCGCTCTTACGCTCAGAACCTGCAACACGCTCCTGTAAGATGCAAGACAGACTCGACAAACTGTATCACAAGCTGGTCATATGCAGAGAGGACAAGCGGCTCTTCATCGTTGGCACACATCCTTGTCTTGGTTGAGCAAGCTCTGAGACTTGCGGGGCCTGGGTGGCATGTTGACAGCTGCTGCAAAGGATGAGAGGCGGGAGAACGTGAAGTAGAACATACTGATGTAGCTCTCAGCTGTACCGCTGGAACCGTAAGGAAACTTTGAGTGTTCTCTACAAGAAATCCTGTGAAGGAGTGAGGTATGCAGAAAACATCAAGAGGATTGAATGTTTCACTATCACTTACTGACCTGCGGCAAAAAGAAATGCACAAAGCCAGAAAGAGATTCTGTATTCAAAATGTTATACTTTTACAAGCTGTTTCTCAACAAGGCTATTCATGGCCTTTTTCAAAGCAAACATTTGGGAAACCAAAGCATAATCCTTCAAAGCAAGTGTAGACGTCTTGGATATGCATGCGATCATGGTCAACCACAAAATTTAAAATATAATCTCGATCGGATGATTTCAGAGCAAGAAATCGATGAACTTGCAAGTGAGTTCAAGGGGTGGGAAGCAACGAAAAGAAAAGAATACAAGGCTCATTAGAGGATTCAGAGCTTCTACAGAGGAAGAAGAGTTGGAGCAGACAAGGAGAGGAGAGGAGAGGAGAGGAGAGGAGAGGAGAGGAGAGGAAACAGAAACGAGCAGGAGGAGGAGGAGGAGGAGGAGGGGCGGGCGTGCAGGAGAGGCGGAGGAGACGGAGACTGTGGATGGTTCGGGGGCCGCTAACCTTGACATCATGCCCGACTGACTGCGAACCCCACCCTCGTGAATTGATGGCATTTGGAGGGGTGTGATTCAGGTTCGGGGTCATGAATGTATTATTAAAATATAATAAATTTCCAAAGGCTTCAAGCTTTATACGGAGTTCTGGAAGCGTGGTACAGATTTGCTCTTGCTTATTTATATTTAGATCATTTCAGTTGTATCAGGTTTGACAAAGCTATTGGTACCAGAAGGAAGCATTTCGTACTGCACCAGTACGAAAGACGAAGGTACCAGTCAGATTATATAAAGCCTTCTGAGCCAACGTGCGGCAAGCGTTCGTAGTGTAGTGGTTAGCACATCAGCCTTCCAAGCTGGTGGCCCGGGTTCGAGTCCCGGCGATCGCAGACTTTTTGCTCTGCCACGCTTCGTCTAACTCTTTTTACTATCTCAGTACGGTCGGTATCATACGCCGGAACCGCCGCTGAACTTCCGAACATTGAACTGAGTCAGACTAGCCAGGGACTCAGGGGCCTGCACTTGAGTGTGCAGCTGCTACTACGGCCGCTGAATGAGAGGCGGGCGGGGCCCCGAACTTCCGAAGGGCCTTGAAGTTGGAATGACTGTGAGGTATTTATTACAGGCGAACTCAACCGTCCGATCGAGCCTCGGATCATTCCATGACGGTATCTTGCGCATCGTCGGCCTCTACATGGCAGCAGACTATGTCCACCTGGAAGGGACATGGGACGTGGACTATCATGCTGTCTTGAGAGATCCCGGGGGGAAGCTCGCCGCCCTGCTCTCACCCTGTCAGCGGCAAGGCTCAGCACACTGGAGGATGCACCTGCATGTGAGGCTTGACTCCTTGCATCTCAGCTAGGACCCTGGCCTCAATCTTTTGCTCTCTCGCTATGTCTTCTTCCATGTGCCTGAGGTTCAGCCTGGAGTCACGGAGAGGGGCAGGAGATGTGGAAGGAGCTTGAGGAATCTGGGGTTAGGAAGGCGTGCTGTGCAAGATTGTGAGATGGAGGAGGGGAGGGTGGGGGAAGAGGAGGTGGAGATAGAGGAGGGAGCTGCAAATTCCAAAGGTTGGGAGAGGAGGGCAGGAGAGCAGCAGGGGAGGGAGGGGGGACGTAGGACGTATGTTGAGTGGACGAGAAAGACCTGAACTTGAGCTCGAGTTCTTTCACGCGAGTCTCAACGACGGACTTCCTGATGTCTTCGGACTTGATCTCAGAGATTCGGTTCGTCAGCTTCTTGGAATCCTTTATGTAGTGCTGCCCGCACGTGAGTTCTTTCACTAAGAGCCGATCTCCCCACAATCTCCTCCTTCTCACCTTCTGCCTAGCGAGGAAGTCGCAAGTGGATCTAAATATTCCCTGGCAAGGAAAACGTCAGGAGCTTTCGCGGGAGAGGAGAGGGCAAGTTGAAGAAACAGGATTTGTCAACGGAGCCACAAAGTAGCAAAGAGGATCTTGAAACAATCCCCTACCACGTTGGGCTGGATCTGCAAATCTCGACACTCTTGCTCGAGTTGATCGCTGATGCTCGTCCGCAGCATAGTCCACTGCTGGTGGAACCTCTCCGCAAGCTTCTTCCTCGCTCGCATGTGCTCGTCACCCCCCTCGCTGAGTTTGCTCAGGTCGGACCAGAAGGAAGTCTGCTCGATGGATCGCGGCACGTCAAGAGCTTTCCAAAACAACGGGCATCTCACATTCGTCTTCTCCAGGATCTGATACTCGAAGGGAGCCCCGCGATGGAGGTTCGGGTCTGTGTGGCACGTGTCGTCTGAGGAGGAGCCCTTCTTGGGGGGTGAGAGGTAGAAGGTGGAGTCAATGGCAAGGCTGCAAGGGAGAAGGCTCCGCCCTGCCCCCCTTGTCAAGGCTTTCTTGGTCCCCAGAGCTTCACTTTACCTGCACTCTGCTTCTTCAATCCCTTGGGTTTTGCCTCCTTCTCCTTGTCAGCCTTTCTGCCCTCCTCGGAGACACGCGGCTTCTTGAGCAGCTTCTCGACCTTCTCACTACAAGGCAGAGGCGAGCTCGCTTCTCTTCGGGGCTTCGCCATCACCTGCAACGAGCAGTGAGATGGGCAGGTGATGAGTTGTTCTCACCGGCCGCCATTGCTGCTCAAGAGCTCGATCGAGCCTGGCAAGAGCTTGATCCGAGACGTAGGAATTCCCGTTGACAACAATCTTGAATGTAATGGTCAGAGAAATTGAGACTTTCGCCCCAAGAGAGATGGTCCGAAGTGGAGTTCTCGAGGAACAGCAACAGCAAGAACCAAAGTATTGGCGCAAAGGGAGAAGGCAGTAACGAATCAATTCTCACTTCCAGTTGTCCTTGCGGTCGCATCGCAGCAATCAGCGCATACACTCCATCGTCGCGAATGTCATTGTACCCAAGATACAACTTCTGGAGAGTCACATTCTGTGATAAAATTTCTGAAAGGTGCCTGCAAACAGAACATAATAAGGATGAAATGCTCCTTGTGCAACCATTTTCATCGCAATTTCCTCCACAACAAACACCCACCTGCATCCGACATCCGATATTTGATTCATCTGCAGGTCCAAGTGCTTGATAGTCTTGTTCTTCAAGAAGAGGTCACGGATCAAAAGGCATCCCTTGTCCCCAACTCCTGTTACATCCATCCCCTCAGTTCGTCCCCGCCAGTAATCCGCTCCCTCACCGCATCCTTCAAGGTCGAGTCTCTCGGTCGAGGTGTTGTTTGCGAGAGCATCACATAGAGAGTTCAAGCTCACGAAGGGGATGAGCGCGGTGATCTTCAAATCGCAGCCTGATTCGTTGTTTTCGATCCTAGCAAGCAGCTGCGCTGATACTTTGGTCGCAGTGGTTCTGCTCGTCCTGGGCCTGTCGCACCCACATCATTTCCGCTCTTATCTTGAAGGAGATATTGATACTTTGAAGGAGCTGAATCCTTCTCGCTCAAACTCTCTGATCTGCCTTCTGATTCCCTTGCCTGTAATCGAGTCAGCTCCCACGTGGATGGTAACTTCCCAACCTCGTCGAATGCCAGCTTCCTCTTGAGCTCAATTTCTTCGTTTTGGTCTTCGCCATCGAGATCTTGCACGTCCAAGACGGGCATCGGGGTAGAATCAATGCAGTCATCCATGGTTTTCTGTTGTCTTTCCATCGAGTTGCAGGCTGACGTAGGAAGGGAGTGTTGTCGCTCCTTCGCATCTCTGGGCGCAGGTGTGCTAGCCATATCGACGGAATACACCTGCATTATTTCAGGATCGTTGAAATAATTGAGAGTAACACAGCTTCTAGAGTTTCTGCATCCATGGGAATGAAAGGAACGAAATTCATGGCAAGCTCAAAAGGGCCGAGCATGGAGGATAGCGGGAGCCCACATGTTCCTTTATCAGCATCTATGATCCGTGCCTTAACCCCCCTCCAGTCAGGCTCCTCCTGACCCCCCGTCCTCCTATCCTTCCTTCCCATATGCTCAACCATTGCTACTCCTCCCCTGCCACCCTGCCCCTCCAATGCGCGGGAAACTTTTGAACTGTATTTTAACCCCCTCGTTTTAGCTCATTTTTGGGGGTAAGGGTGGTCCGTTAGTGCTTCGGAAGTGAGGAGTTGGCGAAAGAGCATCAAGCGCTCGAGTGCAGCAGCAGCAGCAGCAGCAGCAGCAGCAGCAGCAGCAGCAGCAGCAGCAGCAGCAGCAGCAGCAGCAGCAGCAGCAGCAGCAGCAGCAGCAGCAGCAGCAGCAGCAGCAGCAGCAGCAGCAGCAGCAGCAGCAGCAGCAGCAGCAGCAGCAGCAGCAGCAGCAGCAGCAGCAGCAGCAGCAGCAGCAGCAGCAGACCACCACCACCAGCAGCAGCAGCAGCAGCAGCAGCAGCACCACCACCACCGCCACCACCACCAGCAGCAGCCAAGGAGCATAGACGAGGGGGGACTGATGATGGAGATAAGCATAGGTGGGCAAGGAGCAGAGAGTCGCGAGTGTGAGAAACTATGCAGTTGGCATGGGGAGACACGTTTAGTGGGCCGAAGATGATCAACATACATTTTACACATGGCAACATGTTTGAAGGTGCAGAAAGAGCGCTGTAAGCTGCCAAGTGAGGGCAGTAATGACAAAGTGTGAAAGAATATGGTAGAAGTGAAAACGAGTGGGAATGGGAACGAGGTTGAAGAATATGCAAGGCTCCGCTGTGTACAAGTTGATAGAAGGCTTCATTGATTGCAAAAATAGATCAGGCCACATGAATAGATCATTTCACATATGCACAATGATACCGAACAACAAACCTAACACTGCATGGGGAGAACGATACATACATCTTGATGAATGATATTGTTCAAAGAGGACTCGTGTTGTTCAAGTCAACACATCTGATCTCTTGATCTCCGTTTGTGGGGCGATACTTCTCCGAAGGCGATGCTTCGTGTCAAAGCGATCTACCACCACTTTATTGTATTCCAATTGACTTGACGACTTCATTGTGAAACTATCTCCAAACTGCCTGTGCACCTGCAAATGCAAGCAACAACAATGTCGAAAAGCATTGCAAGAAGTTGATCTTCCCTGGATTGCATAGCATGAAAATATCATGATTCTCGGCTTTTGTATGCAGCTAAACCATCATATATGAGAACGACACATTCAGATGCCTCATGTAATGTTGTAACGGTTCTTTCGTGTCACACAACTGATCATCTACCTGGCGATAATGATGTTCAGATTTCTTCTTTAGGGTAATCTTGTGCAGGGCATAAGTCAATCAACATCTAACTCTTTGTGATGAATTTATTGATACATTCGAATAGCCTAGTCCTTAATAAAATTACAACATATCACATGGTTTGCGTGCCAACCCCACTACTCTAATCACACAGAATTTCGACGTACGATGTCTGCCTGGATTTCCGAACCAATGACTCGATTATAGAGTGCTCTGCAAGAATGATTTTCTTGAGAAAAGTGAGTCTTATTCAAGAGTCTTACACTCAGCTTTTGATACTTCTCAGGTGGACCGAGCTCACACGAAATATCTTGGGTTGACTGTGGATAAAATGTAACAGGGCCGCAAACTGCGCATGGCCCTGACACTCCGTCGTACGCACTCCGGATGGAATCGGTATTTACAACAAAGGATGGCGCGATCGTATGGCATGGAGTGGCCTCTGATCCAGTCTGTTTTGCATTTGCTCGCAAGTCTTCGAACATCTTTCCATTGGAATTGCAGATTGGCACGGAGACAAAAACTTCGCGCAACGGGGAAGAGACGATAGACATGTTCCAAGAGACTGAAGACGGAGAGGAGGAAGCGAACTGCGAGCAGGTGAAGAGCGCTGTGCAGGGAAGCGAGGAGGCCCGGAGGGACGGTTTTGTGCTGATCCAGTTTCAACTGTTATTATAGGAGGGCTGCGCCTTGCGAGCTGAAGGGGAACAATCTAGTGGTTGTGTCGTTTAGGAGACGAAAATGAAACATTTCGCCTTTTTACTAAACACTTATAGCGCACGGGAGCGGTGCTGAGCTCCGAAATGGCACGGGAGCTGATCTCGGGGTCTCCGACCCCCAAAATTCACCGTAAGTTTGAGTGTTTTTTTACACAAATACGCGCCATGACAGGTCACTTCCGGGTTTGGTACTGGAACGGTGCAATCTCGAGACCTCGGCTACTTCTGGTCTATTTTTCACAAATATTTCAAATTTCGCCTCTGTATTTTGAACTTGCATTGGAAGTATTTGAATGATACCTTAGCAGCAAAGAGTCGCTCGGAGCCTCACAAAGCAGACCAAACGGTACCGAGTGCATCTCCGAGTTCAGATAGAAGGAGGAGGGGGTGGCAAATTCCCTAAAATGCAGGGGTGGTTTCTGTCATCAATTACATTACTACAGCGTCAAGAGACGCCGACCAAACCGACACGACGGCCCCATGGGAGGGTGTTCTGCAACCCCTTCACCTTATGACCCCATCAACTCACCAGTCAGTCTGTTTTCGTTTCTTGGTACAAATGAAGGGGTTTAAGACTGGTGGGGTCATACCACCCACCTCCAGCAGATGCACAATCTGCCTCTCGATCTTCCCCACCTGTATGAAGTACCAACCGAAACTATCTTTGTATCTCAACGTGCCTGCTCTTGCTCTCGCCGCCCCTTGTACTTTTAGTGTGTGACAGCAACTCCTTCTGCTCCTTCTGCTCCTTCTGCTCCTTCTGCTCCTTCTACCCCCCCTGCTCCTTCTGCTTCCCCTGCTTCTGCTCCCCCTGCTCCTTCTGTTCCATCCTCTGTTCCCCAAGTGCTCTCTAGCTTTCAGCTCTGATACAGCCCGAGGAATATTTATCCTTGTATACCTTTCAGTACGAGAATGATAGAAGCCCATCGCGTTAGCTTGCTGAATCAGATTGAATGCGATGAAGCATCATCAAAGCAAGAATGCCTGGATGTAACAGCAACGAATCAAAATCAGACTCCGAGCCCGCCAAAACCATATCGTCGGTTGACGCTGAGTACGATCAGTTCGCTGAACAAAACCTTGCACCTCCATGCAAAGCAAGATACGTCAAGAGCCTTGTACAACAGATTAGTTGGTGCTGAGCTACAGGCGGAGTTTGAACTTTTTAAACGATGCACCAGTGCTCCATGAAGTCAAAGCTTGTGATTAGACACTGATTGAAAGATGAGAATAAAAAATGAAGTTCTTCAATGCGATCCTGTCATGCCTCGAAGGCTCACTAAAGGTGGTAGCAGGCATCCATCTCCCATGCTCAAAGAACCACTGCTGGGTCACGCAAAGGTGTCCTTCAGGGGTCCTGAACAGGACCCTTGTGCACTATCGAGCATTTTGAAACCGTACGCTCTCTCCATCGGCCTGACTTTGCTGGGACAGAGGAACAGTATCTACACATTATTGAGAGCAGCTGTACTCAGACAAGAGAAAAAAAAGACTCCCGTCGTCCTGGGATTGTGGTGCAGAGTCGGTCAACGAGAAGAATGTGGCCACAAGCTCATGGCACAGGTCAGTTTGTTGCAAGAAAGAAGTCGGCAAAGCAATAGGGACAGGAGTTCTTCGTACCTCCACCTACTTGTCTGAATTTCGCATCCATCAGGCGAATACTCTTCGTCAGCTGCTCAGGAGGTGGTAGCGGTCGAACAGCCTCGGCAAGCTTACCCAAGTGTTGGCGCCAAACTGAGAAAACCTGGCAAGTTTCAAGACCTTCCCCGTCAAACTTGACGTTCAACACTAAGTTCTCTCTCACAACTTGTTGACGGGGTACAAATTGAGCCGCGAGTACAGCGACATCCTGAGTCCTCTTAGAGACTGAATCTAACACGTCGAGGATGCAGGTCTGCCATGACGAGATGGAAGTCGACCTGAAACCAACCACCATCATCCCTGATCTGATCCCACTGTTCACGGTATGCCTCTGCTGAGAGTGCAGCTCTTCTCGATCGAAAGAGCAGCGAGTGACAAGGAGGAGGAGTAGGGTGGGAAGGATCAAGACCCTGTAGACCTTTGGGGCAGAGGAGCAGCTGACACAGCATGTTCATGCCATTGCGCAGGTAAAGGCTCCTGTCTATCAGTAGTTCCCGAACTGACGGGAACTACTGATAGGCTGCCAAGTCCGTCCTGCCACCGTCGCACAGCGCCTCCCTGGTTTGCTCAGTTGCACAATCACTTGAGTGTACTGAGGAACAGCGGGGACTCGGAACTGAATTTGAGTCAAATTGGCCTCGAATTCTGATTGAGCATGACAAGGAAAAGAAGAAGATCACTGAATGTTCATCACCATTTTCAAATGCACATTACTTGTTACAGCATAGTAAATGAGTTAGTGGTTCCTGTAGCCCGTTATCGCTCCCGGTCTACTACCCTCCTGCATTGCTTTGCAGTATCATGCAACCATGACGGTGATCAAGTGAATCAATTCATGGCAAGGTAGCTGCACACAAAAGTACTGCGAGAGGACCTACAATTAGATACATCCCAATCCGTCTGGCGGAAAGGTATCCCGGATGCGTACACGCACAACTCCTTATAGGAATCTAGGAATACCAAAGCCGGAAACCTGGAGAAAGTGGGAGCCTCTCCCTGGTACCAACGGAAGTCAAAACCGAGGGGTCCTCCTCCACTCCGCAAGCCGATCCACCCGAAGCTAAGCCCAAACGCTGCTGCCACATCATCGTACGTCTCAGCGTCAGGGAAGTAAGCGAGGTGTCCTTCGATTCCCAGCTCGTTGCACTTCGACTCCGCCGCTTCCCAGCTCAAATATCTGTAGGGGTAGTTCACGTAGAGAAAGTCGCCTGACTGGATACACAAACTTCCTTCCCCATTCAAAGTGACATCCGAACACGTCTGACGTGATGGCGTCGTCATGGTGCAGTCAGCTGAAGTCGAGCTCATGCATGGCACAAAAAGGCGGAACTCCTGCAGCCCCCAGAATGTCTTTGCGTTCGATGTGTTCACCTCCCAGTAGTCATAGTCTACTCGGAGCTTCGCCTCCACATAGTCCTCCCTCGGGTTCACTCGCAACACATCAGAGACGATCCCGTCTCCTTCGCTCCACCCGCACTCCGATCCTGAGAATCTATTCGCCGGCAATGTTTGGCTCCAAACCTCCTCACGGTTGATGTACAGTCCTACCTTGACAGGCTGGATCACGTCGATCAGCAGCACTTTGAATTGAACATACACTGAGACATGTTTGCACAATCTCGTAAAGGTCTTTTCAATGCTCGAGTGCTCGGCCAGCACGTGGAGGCCTCCCAGCACTGATCCATATGCCCCACAGCTCGTCGTCCTCTCCGTGCCTCGCCATCCCATGCTCCCGTTTCTCTTGAAGTCATTGTCTTTCAGCTCCATCACTGTGGTGTACGTGCTGTTGGGACACAGCTGGCACCCCCCCCGAGCTGCATCGTAGAAGTATCCTGAAGGTACAGACACGTCAGTCAGCCAGCGCTGTGACGCGGCATATCATCACCAGAGTTGCACATGCAACTTGATCGACGCTGAGCTGAGAATGCCGAGTAGCTGTTAGCTGGACAGGACGAGCATGTGCTTCCCTCGCCTGTAGGACACATTATGACTCACAGGGCAAGGAGAGGAGAGGAGGAAAGGATTTTACCGTACTCGTTGCGATTGCACGTGCATCGACAGGTTCTGATATTGCTAGAGTTGGAAGCGCTACATGTTCCGGGCGTCCCGAGGCTGAAGAAAGCTTGCCCGGTTGTGGGGTTGTAGGACGGAGCATCGGAGCTGCTATCGGCGATGTACTCGGACACCGGGAAGCTGAAGTAAGCACAGAGAGCAGACACGTCATCTTTGCTGAACAGCTGGGCTTCCTCCAGACATGACATGTTCTTCGATCCGCAGATCTGTGAGCATGACTGTCCTGGGGTGTCGCTGGCAAAGAATTCTCCTTCGTACAATTCGCACTGGTCGTTGGGGGACGTGATCAACCGCCCGTATCCTGTCGCTCTCACGCCATAACCTGCCAAGCACAAGCACTCATCTACTGTCCTGCTCCCTGCTATCGACGTGCTGTGTGCTGGACACAGTGAGCAGTTGCCAGCTGAACCGTAGCTGCCTGTATCGACTTCATCAGCCTAACACACGAGAGCTCTAGAGCTTGCTACCTGCTTCGCACATGCAGTCCAGCACAGATGAGCTTCCGTAAGGCGACATGAGGCCTGACGGGCAGCGGGAGCAGGAGGGCCCCTGGTCCAGGAAGTAGCCTACACGTCCTCTTGACGTCAGCAGGAGCTCGACGAAAAGCACCCCTACCTCCCATGCACTGGCATTGCTGAATAGAGGAGCTGCCGGACGGCGACCAGGAGTGGGTGGGGCACAAGTTGCAGGAAGCTTGGGGGCCCCAGGCAACTTGGGTGGAGTTGATGTAGAGGAAGCGTCCTGGTACAGCTTCAGATGATGCAGCTAGTAAGGCGGACCACCTTGTTCGCAGGAGCAGTCGTGGATGGTAGAGCTGGCGGGTGAGGAGTGAGAGAAGAAGGGACATCGAAAGCAGTTGTCCCCTTCCCCTGCATCAGCCTCCAACGTCAGAGCCCAGTACACCTCCAGCACCTGCTACCGTAGAAGTCCTCTAGGCATGGCGCTGCACACACGCACACGCGGCTTGCTCCGAACATGCTGGCTTCGCACGTCGACGGAGAGCTTGAAGAATGGAAGTAGCAACCTTCAGCTGACACGTGGGGAGAGATGATGTAGTTTCCACCGCTCACAACCTCGCAGGAGAGGTTTAGCGTCTGGTTGTAGGGAGCACTGCTACCAGAAGACAGCATGTGCATCATGTGAGCTGACACAGCTCTTATCTCGTCCTCCCGCAGCGCTCCTCGCCAGATCGCAACCTCACTCAACGCCCAGTCCGAGCTCTCGGGGATGAAGCCGTCGATAGCATCCAAACCAACCTCATTGATGCTGAGCTGCAAGTTGCCCAGCAGACCTTCAGCTGACCCAACATAATCGACACCATTCAGGAAAAACTTGCCATACTTGTGGTTTTGTCCGCACAACACCACCCAAGCGTCTGCTGAGTTGCTCAGGTCCTGCTTCAGGTTCCAAGAGCCGTCGTAGAAGGCTTGTCCTCGTCCTCCGTTCCAATGCCCGTGCAGGAAGTTACTGCTCGATGCCTGCAGGACTCTGTTCCTTATGCCGCCGTTGTACCTGGAGATGGAGCAGAGGGTGAAGACAGGGCTTGGGATACTGGAAGGGGGAAAGATAACGACATCATTGGTAGAGCCGTTGACGTACTTAAGCTCGCCATCCGACATGACGCTCAGAGGCTCTTCGATTTCCTTCATCTCCCCGACCGAAATCCTCCACGAGGGTCCATAAAAGGAAGCGGAATCGATTCTTGCCGAAGAGGTATAGATGGGACCAATGCGGATACCATCAGCCGTAGCTTCTTCCATGGGAAGCTCAACTCTTAAGTGAATCTGCTGTAATGGTCGAAACACTCCTGTATGAGTATCGTAGAAGTTATATCGTCTTCCCGCAAGCCTCATGTAACATTCTTTCGCTTGATCGCTGCTTCGAGCATTATCCACAGTCACACTAATCGTAACTCTTCTCGAGCCCTTCAGCTCTGTCGGTATTTCCACATACATGTACTGCGAGATCCAAATATTCCAAACAGAACCTGTTGGAATCACAAGGAACTTTGTGACCCCGTGCTCCACGTATCGTCGATGTCGCACGTGCCCGCTATTTGCTGTCAGGTCCTGCAGTGCATTTCCTCCTGCCCCATGCGCTCCCGCGCTCATCCGGAAGTGAAGGGCCCCCGGTCTCTTCTGCGGCTCCGTCATCGCTCCTCGGATTCGTCGATCGGATGCGATGCTCGCTGCTCTCATGGCTGATTGCATCGTCTCCTCATCGACTATCTGGTTGATCGCTGAGCTCACGCACGTCTTCCCTTCTGCCGCACATGTCTCAGCGCACGACATGCCCGAGGCTCCGAGCCTGAACCATCGCGACTGCTCCTCGACGTTGGAGAAGATGGGCTTGCAGCTGTCTGAAGAATTTGAGATGATCCCAGAGAAACCTACGGATAAATCTCGTCAGTCCCTACGCACAAGAGGAGGGGCCTCACCGTACTGGCACTTGCAGTCCGAGACCTGCTGGCTTCCTGCAAGTGACGACGATCCTGGAGGACAGGACGTGCAGTTGCGAGATACTGAGCCGTAGTAGCCGGGGGCGCATAAGCTGCAAGTTGTCTGGCCGGGCTCCGAGGTGTAGTGACCCGTGCGGCAGGAGATGCAAGAGCTTGAAGGTGACATTATGTCCAGGTAGAAACCTGCTCTGAAAAGTTAGAAATACTGTTTCATGCAGCCTTGTCAGTTGTATCACCCAAGCTGCATAAGCATTGGAAACTTCCTTCTGTGTTGACGCATGTTGTCGTTGCTGCATCGCACAATCCTGACTTTGTCACACACTCATCTTCATCCTCACACATGGTGCCGGAACCCAAGTACCCTGCGGTGCTTTGTCTCAACCCGTTCACTTCTCGCACAGAGGCAGCAGCTCACCTTCCTTGCAGATGCACTCAAAGCTCGCATACGTATCAATGCATCTCGCATGGGTCGCGCAATTGTCAGTGTGCATGGCGCACTCGTTGATCAGGGTGTAGTTACAGCCCGACGCTCCCGTGCATGCTTGGAAGGTCCTTGGCTTCGACCCCTCGCACATTCCGTCCTCCACCTCCACCCCGTCTGACCGTATGCATATCACCGACCGGTACTGCAAGCCGGAGCCGCAGGTGCTAGAGCATGATTCCCAAGCTGACGTACTCCAGCGGTAGGAGCAGGAGGAGAAGTCGATGCAAGGCTGGTGCGCGAGATCAGAGAAAGAAAGGAGATGAGCGTAGCTTACCTCCTCCTCGACTGGAGTTGAGCCAAGACATTTGGTCCAATCCATGCTCATACTATCACTTCTTCGACATGCAATGGAGCGACGCCGGTAGCCTGGCCCGCAGGCAGAGAGACACTCGCTGTAGGCTCCGATGTCCCACTCGTAGGAACACTGGGAGAAGTTGAGGCAGGGAACCTCCGCCAGAGGCTTCGAGCGGTTGGAGCAGTGGAAGTCTTCGACTGGTGCCTGCAGCTTGGAGATGCATGTGATGCTTCTCCTCGCCACTCCGCTGCCGCACAAGCTGCTGCACTCGCTGAACCTGCTGGCGCTCCACAGGTAGCCGGGCTCGAGGTAGTACCTGTCCAGCAGCAGCTGCACGTCCGTTTGGTTTAAACAAGAACCCCCGCATCCCCCTGAGCGGATCTGCTGCTGGAGGGCCTTGAGCTGAGTGAGGATTTGAGAGATGGCGAGGTCGGGCTGGAACGGCTCGGGCTGACGGGCAATACTGTCAATGCACACCGAGAGATTCGTTCAGCTCACCGTGGTCAAAAGCAGTTGAGAGTCTAGCCCCCAGGGCAAGAAGACTTCCTGTACTTCGTCGAAGACAAAGCACATGGCATCTCCTGCCTCTTGCACACAACGATTTTCGTAGTCGCATACCCACACCTCGTACCTGCATCCATGGGAGTGAGGCGCCTCTTTCGCAGTTGAGGAGGAATCAACCTTCCCCTCTGCATGAGAAGGCCCAGGCCACCGATTTTCATCCTTCCGGTGGCTTCTTTGTGGATTATGTCAGACCAATTGTATGGGAGGGAGCAGCGAACTGAGCTGGAGGTGAGGTTACCCCACGGCAGCTGAGGAAGAGAGGCAAAGGAGGCGTTGAGGCTCTTCAGCGTCTCAAGGGAAGCAGAGAGCTCCTTCTTCAGACTTCGGATCTCCATCTCAAGTTCTCGCATGGTCAACTGTTCATCTTGAGTCTTCATAGCAGAGCCAGGATGGGGGAGGGAGATCGCAAGGAGCACGAGAGACAGCAACATTGTTGTAAACTTTCCTTTATTGACTGAACTGAGCAAGGTGGGGAGCTGGATTCTACTAACCCCTCCTTCGAGGTTCATTTGCCAGAGGAAATAGGGGGTAGGGCGTGATTCCCGGAAAAATTTCTGGAGGATCAGGCAACAAATCCGCAAAAACAGCTGGAGTACTTTTATTATAAAGTCTACTTGAAGGCCCGTTTCCCGCCGGCTCCCAGTTTCTTACTTTTAGCTTCTGACTTGATTCGAAGTAATTTGAAAATTTCCTCGAAAGATTCACCGGTACTTAATGGTTATTGATGAGGGGTGGAGAATTTAACTTATGTTTGTTACCGGAAAAACTGGAAACTGGAAACTAGTAGGGAGCCGGCGGGAAACGCCCCTCTAAAACTTATGAGCGGGTTATTATCAATTTCCTGTGCTATAGACGAAACTACTGACAAAAGTCTAACACCTGTAGAGTTAATTCAAGTAGGGGTGGTATGGCATCGCAGGAGAGTTGCACCGGTGTGGAAATTCTAAACTGGTGGGGTGGTAATTGAGGAACGCAATGGAAGGCAAAGGGGTGGATCGGAATTTAGGGGGTGGGGGTGGGGAATGTGAAGAAGAAGCAGTGGGCCATGCGCGTCTGTGTATGCGGAAGTTCCAGCAGCTCGACGCCTAAGGCTTATCTTGACGCCAGCAAGGAGCTGGGAAGGTGATAATGTCGACCATTTCTGAGTCTTTCTCGTGCGTCTCTTGCTGTGCCAAGTGTTGTGCTGCGCTCTTCTATGGAAGTTCCATGCACGCTGCTTAACAATCATTCCATTCGTCAAAGTGAAGAGTTCCGTGATGTATACCTCGATGGTTACATGCCATGTATTATTGTCATTTCCAGGCAAAGATATTGATTCCCAGATTCATTTTTGTCTGAGATAACTAAATCTATTTTACATCTGATCACCCAAATTATTATGTTTCAGGTTGTTGGCAGAGAGGGGACACATCTGTGTCAACGGGGGAGGTAAAACAGGCTGCATGGGAGCGCTCAACGATGGATGCATCCATGCTGGCGGGACCACAATTGGCGTAATACACGAGATGTTTGTTGTGGATGGCGAAGAACACACAGGGTTGACGCAGATGATCGTTGCCCGCGGTGATTGCCTGGCAGAGCGAAAGAAATTACTGGTAGAGGGTGCCGATTGTGTCATTGCACTGCCAGGAGGTGTGGGTACGTGGGATGAACTTTGGGAAGTTGTTGCAGAGGTCTCTTTAGGGTTCAAGAACATCCCGATCGTTGTGATCAACACGAATGGCTTTTACGACAGCTTCAAAGCGATGCTTGCCAAGGCCATGGAGGACAAGTTGATTTACAAGGGCCCTGAGACTCTTGTTCGCTTTGAGTCAAGTGTAGTGGCAGCACTGAACTTTGCTGAGAGGATGCACGTCGCAAACAAAGACGGGCTGAGTGGAAAGACTTCTTCCAGTGGAAGAAAGGAGCACAGAACCACCAAGGCTGAGCAGGGCACAGCTTATCCTTTTGTTGCTGGACTCCTCTTCGGTACGATCACCCTCCTGCTAGTCCAAAGCAAGCTCGGACTGTTACGGGTTTGATTCAAGATCTGCCACGGTTAGTCACAGATTTTCTTTGCCAGTTGTTTTCACTGTCAAGCCATGTTAGCTCTCACCAGACAGCTCGAAGTTTTACCGTGGACAGTCAGTGGCCTCGGGGCAGTTCCCGCTCAGTTCTCTTCTCTGATTTTGTTTCTTCTAAAATAAACTTAAGACTGTGACTTGTTTGATCTTTAGATCGGACCCGCCCGGCCCGCCGGGGCCGCGCGCGGCCCGGCACCGTATAGTACCGGCGGTACCGTAGGCTGCAGTCGCGGCGGCCGGGCACTGCACGACGGTACTCAGGTGTCACGTTCAACTTGGCAACTTGAACGGTTACAATGATCAAGTTGCAGCCCGGCACCCGGTCACCGTCCCGAGTCCGAACCGTTCGGAACCGTGCCGGCGGCGGTGCCAAAAGGCGGCGTGGGCCCCGGCCGCCCGGCCGCCCCGGGCGGGCGGGCCTCCGGTCGGAGGCTGAGTCCGATCCGACTCGCCTCAGCCTCCCGGAGCCTCCGAGTCCGCTCAGGCTATCGGGCCTCCGAGGCTGACGGTCCGATCCGAGCCTCCCGGAGCCGGCGAGTCCGCTCGGGCTATCGGCCCGGGGTTCGGCCCGGGTACCGGCGGTCGCCGCCGTCCGGCGATCAGTGCAAGTATCGGGCCCGGGGCCCTTCTCGGAAGTTCAAGGGTTGCCGCCGCCGCCGGTCACGGTTACCGGAGACTCCTGTAGGGAGACTGGCAGCAGGGGGCATCTTGTTACAAGGACGAAGGAGTGCAGCGGTGGTTCCGAAGTGTGACAGCTTCGAAGACAGACGTCATGCTGCAGAGAGCCGTTGGTAGCATTTTTGCGATGACAGGAAGCGGGAAAAGGGGAGCAAAAGGCTTCCAGGCAACCTGTGTACATTTTCAGAGGCGTTTCGCTGGCTCTTGTGCCAAGTCAACGTGCCATGGCGTTGACTTCGACACACGGATCGAAGTAGGTGGGACAGGTACATGATCGCATGGTGATCAAGGGCGTCTTGCAAACTTCTGACAACTTGGCACCTTGCTGTGTGTGCCTCTACAGTGATTCATTCGAACATGCCTCATGATGACGGAAAGTCCCCACGCACTTCGCCATCTCCAAAGGTGTGAGAAACTAAGACCGTTGGCTTGCCTTGTAATGCCTGGCAGGACCTCGTCATGGCAGGGTTGGCAGCGTGCACGAGCATGACGTTGCAGACAAGGGCAAGAACAATGATAGAGTCCGGAAAGATGGAAAGGGGGAGCTTCAAGAGGGTGAGTTGCATGCTGACAAGCAGAGCATGAAAGTAGCTCACAAATCGGCGCAGATAGATGTGCATGCCTATGATAGCACTCCGCAAGGCAAGCACATGCCAACACGGTCATCTTACAGGGGGGAAACGGAGAGTGTGGCTGATTGGGCAGCGCAGGGTGAATCTCAAGATCTGCGTGACCGGGAGCTTATCTGCAGCTCAAAGGCGGCAACTCCTTGCAGCTGCAGATATGTGGTGAGGAGACACGCTAGAATGTAAAGAGGTTGAACCTCACCTCTTATTGCAGTCCAGTCAAACAGATGCTCAAGGGGAAGGTGGAGGAGGGAATCGAAGTTGAAGTTGTAGTTGAGGAGGAGACGGGCACGAGCTGATTGTGCGAAATTTGACATTTCATCTTGGCTTGAATTCAATGATCACTTCATTACATGCTGTATGCCTTTTGAACCTTTCTCATCTTGCAATTGAACCTCTCTCATCTAATACATATTTACACACCGCGTAACAACAATCACGTTAAGTCGAACATGTCTGAGTATTCTACACTTTCAACAGGATGGATGGGGTCAGATTCATGTGTTGAACCATCACCCATCGAGCTCCATCATGAACATCTCTTCTTCAAACCTACTGCATGATCTACTACGTGCTCCCTTTTTCATACCGGGCAAGAATGCATTCGGAACCACGTCGTCAAGAAGGTCGAAGTTGTCCTCTGGAGACAGCATGCCATCCTCCAGTGAAGAAGGCAAGTCATCAACATCCAGTGTGCTGTCATAGCTCGGTGTGCCGTTTTCCTCGTCAGCCCACCCGTCGGCTGGTTCGAGGTGTACTATGATCCCATAGCAATCGTGAACTGAATGAATCCTATAGGGGACGCACGAGCTTTGGATCAACATGGCATATCCCTGACCTCCAACAGGGAAGTTCATGGTCATGATCTGTCCATCTCCCTGCTTCAATTGAACTTCGACAGACTGCTCTCCCTGCATCTCATCTGAAAGTATTATGATGCATGTGAATCCTGCCTTGTCAATTTGCCAATCATCGCTTGCTATTTCGCCCTTGCCTATCCTTCTGATCTTAGTTGAGATTCCTAGGGATGAATCATGTACGACGACTGGCACCTGATCATGTTTAATGTCACTTACAAAATTCGAACAAATTTTCACATTGCTCACGTCAATCATTCGATTTATGAGGTTTGAGAATGTATCAGAGCTCCATAGATCGCAAAGATTGAGAGAGCAATGATAAAACTCGGATTTGGCGGAGTCAGAATTCATTTCGAGTATGAGCTGCAATGCAAGCTTCAGAAACAATTTGTGATACTACATGGGGAGTTCAATAAAGCATAGCAGAAAAAAATTACCTCGTTTCTGACTGCTTGGCAAAATTGATAATTTAGCATGGGAAATGGGTCTGAGCAGGCAAATGACGAACACCAAGCTGTTGCCTTCTTACCATATCCTAAATCCTGTCAAATTTGCTTTCTGTTAGCGCAAACCTGTGAACATGGAAACACCAACATGGCAACCGACATGCGCAAAGACATCAGATCACACCAAGACATACCGAGAGTGTGTGTGATGAAAGAGGCCCTTGCATGGCTGCTTCAAATGCGCTCTTCGACATTGCGCGCACGACTCCTCCACGCCCTGGCGACGCCATAGCCAACGACGGCTCGTATGGTGATGAGGAGATAAGTACCCTCGGACTGAAGGGGTGGGGGTGACACTATACCCAATATTACGACTGCAAGTTACAGACATTTGTATGGGTAGGGGTACCCTGAGTAGGGGTGTGTGTTTTCAGCCCATTGACTGAAGGGGACACTGAACTTACCACCCGTACGTTTTACATATATTTGAAGGGGTGATTGACTCCACCCTACCCGTCATGCTCCACCCTACCCCCAGGTACTTGTTCTGTACTTTTGCAGCCCTCATCCTGTGACCCTGGTAAGCGCTCGATGCCAATGAAGAGGGGTAGGGGGTATGAATGCAGGGGTTTTAAATGCTATTCCTGGGGGGGGTGATGATTAGCATCGCAAGGGTACTTACGCTGCAATCGTGATATCCAGGGGTGGAGATTATAAAGGTGTGAATTAAAAGGGGTACCTGGGGTTATATTCCCCATTCTTGGTGGGGGTAGGTCGAGTAAAGTGCACGAAGCCCGAAGGAAGGTAATAAAGGCGTAGTTACCCACCCCCACCCCCAGGCCTATTCCCAGAACCCATGAAGTCCATTCAAATGATCACCCCCTCTTCCTCCTTTCTTTGAACCCCTTTCTCAAGGAGAAACCGTGATTACTACCACCCTACCCCTGAGAACCCTGGACCTCGGGCGGGCCGTAGGGGAACATTAGCTGCGATGTGACCCGAGGCTAAAATAAAAATGATTTAATATCCACCGTGCCGTGGCGGGCCGCTACAGTACCGGAGTCCGGCCGGCGGCTTGGCCGGGCCCGGGGGGGCGGTTCAAGTCAAGTTAGTTAGGCTCGCCTCGGGCCGGGCCTCGCCTCGTGGACGGACTCGACTCTCATGTTATAGTAATGGTACGGCCCCCGGGAGTGGATGCCAGATGATTGAATACTATCATCGGATACAGGCCGTCGGCAACTAATAAGCCCGGCCGGGCCTTATGTTAGGCGGGAACATAGAAACTTTGCAGGGAAGAAACAAGAGCCTCCATCATCATGGCATCAAAACTTAAGCAAAGGTTGTGTGTTCATAAGGTTGAACCGTGCGACATATTTTTTATTAAGCCCGTAGGCCCAGTGTCCCCGGCCGGCGGGGCCCCGCGGCGGCGGCCCGTCCGATCACCGCCGGGCCGGTGCCAGCCGCGCCAGAGTGACGCCGGCGCCGGCCCAGCCTGAGTCCGGGCCCGTCTCAGCGGCCGCCGAGCCGGGCACCGTTGAAGTTCAGTATTACACAGTATCAAGCCTTGATGATTCAGTTTGTTTCTGTCTGCTGTTTCACAGTGTTCACACCGACCGCGGTGCTGGCACTCGGAGTAGCAGTGATCCCCAGGAGGCCACAGGCAGCTCCCCAGAAAATTGAGACTCCGAGCTCGAAGCTGGTAAGACCGACGCAAGTCACGAATCACCAAGTTGAACTCAAGCTGAAGAACACCTGTAGCGCGAGAAGAAGGAACGAAAGCTTCCAGACTTCTTCTTGCCATCCTCAGCCCCTGCGAAGCAAGTCGGAGCCAGTAAGAGATGCGTTTGCCTTGGCCCCGCAGCTTTACCAACTCCCTTCACTCTGGCAAAGTCCAGCTTCCATCCGCGGCGCTCAGCAATCTTCCTCAGCCTTGAGCCCGGGCGGACTACGTACGCCTCTGAGACCTGGATCATCTCAGCTCCTGAAATCCGGCACAGCAACCAGTATCCTTGTCACCTCCTCCAAGAACGGCACGTCATACATCGAGTTTCCCACGCCCGTCGTCCCCCTGAGGGTTAGACCTATGGGTCCAGCCTGAGTTGGGAGGAGCCGCCAGGGAGTCTATACCTGATCCTTTCAAGTTGCTGGGGAGATGCTCGAGCAGCTTCTGCCTCTTCCTCTCCAGCACGCACACGTCCCCCAAGACGTTTCCAGTATACCTCCCGTTCTTGATCTCCATCCTTGTTGCGATGACAGAGCATCTTGAAGAGGCGGAGAGGGCATCAGACCACAATCCATGTCACGCTCTCCACAGGTAACTCTCACCCCAAGTCGTGTGCCAGGGACTCTATCATGGGTTCAACATTGCCGGATAGCAGGAAGACTTTCCTTCCAGCTCCTTGCTGGGCCCTAGACGAGACTTTCAGCGACATACCCTGAGGGCAGCATGTGCGGATCAACCGCAAGTGCTCGAGAACTTGAGGGTATGCGCGAGACATAATTCCCGATGCGACCTGTGGCATCCATCGATGAGTATTGGAGTTCAACCGCGTTTCCCTCCTCACGATCTTGGAGGCCAAGGAAGCGTCCTGCTGTGTGACCCCTCTGAGGATGATCCCTACAAGAAGTTGATCAGCCTGTGGCTTCTTCTCGTCCGGCCATGAAGCGCCTGACCGGCAAGGAGCCTCGCAGCCTTCGCTTCATCGAAGAGGGCGAGGATGCCGATGAAGGGAATTGTAAGACATATCTGCGACCGTCTTCGCTCAATCGCTGTTGCCCGGCACTTGACATGTTCACCTGAAACCTCTTGATCGCTCTCTGCCTCGGATGCGGGAGAGCTCCGACAAACCACCAGGCGCAGTGCCCCATGGTTCCATGGTACAACTTGAATGAGTCGTTACATCGAGATAATTTGGGGCGGGGGGGGCGTTACTGTGCCGTCGACGTCGTAGTAGCAGTTTCCTCTGTGCTCCTGGGAGCCTCCACGGAGATGGAGAGATGTTGGTGCAGACAGCCTCCTCCTCGACTGATGGCTGGGTCAGGAGAGGGCGACTAGCAAGCTGTAAAAATTTATCTGCATACCAGCGCGCTCCCAGACAACAATCCAGCGCTGCTGAGGATCTAGATGAGGGTGAGAGGCAGGTTACCAACCCCTGGCAATTTTACCTTGCATCTGCTGTTGTGGTTGAAGAGACTATGAGGTGGGATCCATCTGCAATTCAACGCACCAGTGTCACATGACTTCACCCTCCGACGTTGAGCTCGCGACGATTTCAGTTCTCAATCCCTACATCACATCTCCTTTGAGTTTACATCATCCTCTAGCCTCCATTGCAATTGTCTAGTGCATATAGCCTTTTCCTCCTGTTATCCTTCTCGTTCCCTGATTTCCCATGGCCTACACCCTTCGAACCGTTCATCTGTTCACCCCCGAGTCTCCTCCACTCTGCTTCCTTGTCCTCTCCTGTCTCCTTGTACAGACCATGCCGATCTCTACTCTTCTTCGTTCATGCTCTCATTAGTCACATTCTCTCCCTCCCATCCTCCTCCCTTCCATCATATCACCGGATCGGCGATGCTGCCATGCCGGATGCCTGGCCGGATGCTGTGTGAGGTGGGGGCCGTGTGCTGAATGAGGAGCATTATATGGGCTGCCGGCTGGGCGCCCGGCCACCGTCGGGCCCGGGACGCCGCTGCGGGGTCGGCCGTGGCTTTGACCGACTCACTAACTCAGTGTCTGTTCAGCTCAGACAGACAGTAGTAACCCGGGACTGACTGAAACAGATGTATTTGATTCACAATTTTTCACACTGACAGGATGGAACTGGCAACTGCACATCGGCCATCACTTCAAGCCTTGTCAGACTGCCCTTACAAGTCATCGCCGGTCCATTGCGGGCCGGGTTGTTGTCCTGACAGTGATCATGCATCGTACTACGCGCCTCCGAGTCACTGCCGCCGCAGAATTTGGCACTTGAACTGAGCGCCCGCCGGGCGCTCGAGCCACTCCCGGCACCAAGAGGGTCACTGCAGTTAACTTGCACTGGCGAGTTGGCCCGCAAGATCCTCTGCCTCCCTCAGAGTCTGGCTCTGACTTTCAAATTCAAGACAAGGATGGACTCCTTGAACCTATCAGACTCAGACCGACGGTCGCGACGTCACAGTGACTCAGTCAGGGCTCAGAGTGGACTTGACTCGTCAACTTGGCTGCTCTGCCAGGCTCGACCTTCAAGCCAGTTTCAACTCGCTCCCTGCAGGTGTTGGGGGTCTGGGGGGAATTTGACATCTGCCTTGTCAGCTGCCAGGATCCGATCGCCGTGGAGGGCCAGCAGCACAGGGAGGAGGCAGAGGCCGAAGAAGGAGCCGCAGACGACGAGCGCCATGTACATCCGGAAGTAGTAGACCACGAAGATGCGGCTGTGAGCCAAGCCGAGCACGGCGACGCCGAGGAACTTGGTGACGGCGATGCCGGAGAAGACGGCACGGCCAACTCCTGTCACAGCCCTCACCACCCTTGCATCAGCTGGGCCCTTGCTGGATAGGAAGGCATGAGTGAGATGGACGCTGAACTCCACGGAGATGCCGATGGCGGCGACGAGGTTGACAGTCGAGAGCGCGTTCAGCTTGATGTCACACAGCCCCATCACGCCGACCATGACGACCTGGGGCAGGCTAAGAAGGAAGGAGGAAGAAGGAAGGAGGAAGAAGACCTCGATGGTGACAGCAACGAACATTATCAGAAATGCACAGAAAACGTTCTGCAGTAGCAGGACGAGGACCAGGGCGAGTGCTGCGATGGCGAGCGTCGAGACCGTCAAGGCGGAGTTCTCTATCCCAAGATACTACAAGGAAAAGCATCAGCGGGAAGTTCCTGGGCAGGAGGAGTTTACCTGCTCGAAGAAAGCGTAGAAGATGCTGTAAGCATACACGTCCAGCCCGAGGTTCTTCCTGATCTTGTCCACCAGCTCTTGAGAGAAGCTGAGAGCTTTGATGTAGTCCTCCTGGGTCTGGAGAGGAGAGTGATAGCCCATGAACCGGAGGGCCGTCAGCTGCTGCACTGAGAACTTCCCCAAGTCGTCGATGTTGCGCTGCCTGCCATGGTTCTCCAGCGCTAGGATGGATCTGCAGCAAGTCAGTGTGAGGAGAAGCAGAAGGCATGTCAGCACATGTTCCCGAGATCAGCCGTATAGTGAGCACCGCACGTCGAGCAGCTTGCAGCTTCCCCTGGATCGGACGGGCACTCCGACTTCATGAAGTAGCTGAAAAACGTTTCGATATCCGCGGCTAGCGGCATCACTGAGCTGCTGCCGAGGCAAAGGAGAAAGCGCTCACCTCGAGGAAAGCTCAGGTTGAGAGGGACGCAGGAGACCTGCGCTTCCTTGTACTTTGCGTAGCACAGGCGTTGGCAGAAAGGAGCTTCGCCTCCTTGAAGGGCAGTCAGTCTCCCCCCCCCTCTCATGCTCTCCTGCTGTTCTCCAGCACCTTCCGGGCAAAGCCCTGTTAGTCGAACTCCCCAGCAAGCTCCGGCTCCTGACGTTGCGTTGTACTTGCGGAATGCCGAATCTGGCAGGGCATGAGCGAGGCAGCCCCCTGCTACCTTGCATGGAGTAGCAGGGGCAGAAGGACAGGCGTCGGAGAACTGGAGGAGGAGGGTGTGAGGAATGGTTGATATGCCGTCAGTCGTCTCCTCACATAGGTCAAGGTGTCGTTGCAGGCGCAGAGGGGAGGGAAGGGTTCGTCAGGATGAAGCTTCGGTGTCCAATGAGCAGGGCAGACAGGCCCGCGGGTTCCGTTTCTGCTCGTCGACAGTGAGAGGAAACGGATCAAAGAGGGACAATGACGTACGAGTAGAGAGCCTGGCGGCAGCAAGCACGGGAGGGGTCACCTCGAGAGGACAAGAGCCAGGAGATCAAGTCGTCCACGATGCTTGCAACGCCTGAAAACATGCGCCATCAGCCTCGGTCACATTCCCCGACGTCCTCAGAGGACAAGACCGGATGCAAGGTATGTCTTGTCTGGGTGACGAGCTGCATTGCTCAGGAAATTGCCAAGGGAGTCCCTGGGTTGTCAAAAACATGAGGAAATGCGCGGTTGCAGTGAGAGAGTTTCTGTACATGTCGCAAGTCTGTCGAGTACACAACTTCCGTAGAAACTCCGTGTCTGTCATGTCGATGCTCTGAGACTTGGACTTGTTGTTGCCCCATCCATTGACTACGAAGAAGACCGGCGGGCCAACCTACAGGTGAGTTTCAATCAAAACCCCTCACATCGTGCTCAAGCTCGTGCTCAAGCTCGTGAGACAGGAACTACCTGCAACAAGTTCGCCACGTCGTAGAAATATTTGACGAGAAAAGAGTCCTTTGGCAGAGCGTCCGTCTGCAAAAGGTTTATGACTACGTCCAATTGTCAAGGTCCTCCGGAGAGATCAGCAGACCTGCTCAAGGCCGAGCTCCACGAAACAGGAGCATATCATAGCAGCAAACAGTATCAGGATTGAGATCCAAAGAACCAGCTTGTGATAGTAGGATGACAAGAGCCAGGCCTCTAGCGTGCTCTTCCCCAAGGGCTCCCTTGGGGGGCTGGCGGCTTCTCCACCACCCTCGTGACGCTGCTGGTTCAAGAGATTCTCATCAAGATCAGTAGGCTGATACTCAAGATGCATCCAGCTCTTGATGGAACTCCATGTAGAAGCGATGCAATCCTGGTGGTCTCCCTCCCGTGTGCCTGTAGTATGCTCATGGCTGATCTCGAGGTAAGACAAGCAGACAGGAAACAGAGTCAGTTGTATCAGAACGTCGGCGACTACAGCAAAGCATGCAAAGTATGCAAATGACTCCACTGCAGGCATCCCCGTGCTCGATCCAAGAAGGAAAGCGATCGATTCTGCAGAGGCCGCAGACACGATCGAAGGCCCAACTTGTGCTAAAGTTCTGGCACAGGCCTCAACCACTAAATCTGGGTTGTCGTTTGAAGTTTCAGCGCCCGAGGCGTCAGGCTGTCGATTCATCTCCCTCGAAGTCGATTGAAGCTGGTAGATGGACTCATCAAAACTCCACACAAGAATGAAAATGTTGTCCACCCCGATGGCAAGGATGAGGAAAGGAATGACTTCTGAGAGCACTAAAGTGGCTTTGATTCCGAAGAGCGAACACAAGGTACAGGCGATCAGAAGGCTGACAATGACCATGAATATTCCTGCTGATGCCAGCAAGATCCTCTCCTTCACCCGCCTTGGCCTGCATTCTGAATTTCGCTGTCGTCCGATTGACAAGGACACGTACATAAACATCACTGCGTAGCTCATGAGGACCGTCGGGATGTCATTCGAGCTCTGCCGGTCCAGCTCGTCTTGTAGCGCTCTTTCCATGCTGTAAGTTATCTCCAGCCTAGATCCTTGTGTCCGGTCACCATGCTTTGCGATCATCTCCAGAGCCTGTTAGCCCCCCGGGTCAGCGAGGGATGACTGTGAATATTGACTCACCTTAGATTCCCAAACAAGGGCACGAGCTTTGCTCCACTCATCGTTGTTGAAGAGGTAAGTCACAATCAGCGCCTCGCTGTCCGACGGCTCCACCTCCCCACCTTGCGCTCCGAACAGAACCTTGGGAAAGATCAGGGGCAGCCCAGCTCGGGACCAGCAATCCCGTTCGCTGCCATCGGGTCAACTAACGTGAAGAGGAGGACAGGATCACCTTGCTCCGAACTGAGCACAGCGGTCGACCTTCTGTTTCAGCGCTGCGTCACAGTCGCTCTTATTGCTCGGCCCCCATCCGTTTTTGTCCTGGCAGGCTTGGGCAGCTCGCAGGCTCGAGATGTTCGTCTGCCAATATTCGGTCACGCTCTGAACGAGACAGCCGGCGCCGGGGGTCGGCTGGAAGCAAATGTCTTGGATCGTCCAGACTTCTCCGACCTCACATCTCGCACCCCGATCGGCCTCGACCAGCTCTTCACAGCTGATTTGGATTCCCTCCAGCTCAAGCTGCAGGTCTATCAGCTCTTCCAGAACATTCAGATCGATGGCTGAGGTCTGCAGCTCGTCTGCGTCTTTGCTCCTGACAATCATCATCTCCGTCCTCCAGAACGGCCCGAAAGTAGAGTCGAAAGAATGCTTCTCCTTGGTGCAGCGACTCTGACTGCCTGCCCAAAGCTGGACAGGGTCGGAGATCTGTTGTATGGGTTTGTACCATAGGGCGATGAAGCAGCAGAGGATGATCAGACACCATATTTGCGATGTTCGCTGGCGATTGCTTGCACAGCTTTCACCAACCCTGTACAGAAACCTGTAGATCGCATTCTTTGATTCGAACTGCTGCGAGATGTGCTCGAGACGTTTTGAAAACTCTGCACTCTGCCGAGAGCTTCCATCGAGGAAGTCGATTTGCACATCCGGGGGATTATGTTTGGTCAGTGCGAGAGTCAGAAAGAAGATGAGAAGCACGTAAGTAGTTGCTAAAACAACATTCACGTTCAGAGGGAGGAATGGATTCATCCGAACTTTCCACCACGGTATCCCCTCGTCAGACTCAGGGATAGCAGGACATGCATCTGTGCAGTCACTGCATTGGCATGATAGTGTCCTGTCGGATGTGTCGCATGCTGCAACAGTTTGATTCATAGCCGCCCCGAAACCATCCAGCAAGCTCAGGGACTGATTTTCATCCCCGAGCTCAAAAATGATCTTCAGCGGGTTCTGGCCGCTCGCATAAGCCGCAGTGCCCTGAAACGAGAGGAACGACTCTGCGTCGTTGGAGTTGCCGAACGCCATCGACATGGCTTTCTGTCCACTTGCTGCTACCGTCACATCCTTGCAAGACCGGTACAGCCTCTCAGCATAACCTCGATCCACCAGGACTCGCACCGTCTGGATCGTGGAGATGTTCCTTACGGCCGAGACAGTCCCACCACATCCTGCCATCGCGCCATTCTTGGCATTGTTGGGCTCTGGCCAGTCATCGGTACTGCATGGCGATGCATCCTCAACCTGGATGAAGTTTCCCTGCGTGCTTGAGCAGGTGAATTCGCACCAAAACCTCTTGAAGTTCTGCCAGCATGCCGGGCAACTCGCGAGCATACCCTCTGCCATCGCAAGCTGCTCGCTCAACGTGTCCAGTTGGTCCTCGGAGCAACACACGTCGTCGGAGGATGAGAAGGCCTCCCCACAGACTTCCTCGATCCTCGGGGCGACCTGAGAAGCCTACAGCATGGCATCAGGAGGAGCAGCGAGCGCATGTCGAGCTTTCATACAGGGCGAGGGGATCGCTCGTCATCTGCCAGCTGGCATGGCGCTCCTTTCCCAGGAAAGGGGCAGAGGACGCCACCGGCCTCACAACCCTCAGTACCTGGAGGGCAAGAACATACTGGGGATGCGACGCAGACGCCGCGCATGGTACACAGCCCGTGAGGAGGAGCTGAGAGGGGAGAGAGGGAAGGAGATGATGGTGATGATGATGATGATGATGATGATGATGATGATGATGATGATGATGATGATGATGATGATGATGATGATGATGATGATGATGATGATGATGATGGAGGGAGCAAAGAAGCCGCCAACACCAGCATCGCCATTATGCCGCCCCCGCTCCACCCGCCCCGTTCAACCATCGCCACAAACTTCACCGAGGCGGGCCCTAAATACGTGAGGCCATACACTCCCACCCTGTCACAATGGCGGCGGCCTCGTTGGCAGCGGTAGCGGCGATGGCGATGGTGGCGGCTCCTTCAGCAGCCTTCCATGTCTCCCCATGCTCTCTCTCCTCCTTCTTAGCCCTCAAGGCGATCCATCCTCGTCCTCACGGCTCCCTGCGCCACTCCAGCATCGGGCCACAGCAGGGAAGTCCAGGGCCCAGGCGATCCGCGAGCCCGAACAATGGTGCTCGGGGGTTGCAGAGCTCGGAGAAGGGAGGAGCAGTGAAGATTGTGAGACAACAACAACCAGTGTGCATGTGTGCACACGCAGCTGACGATCCTGTTACAGCTGATTCCCATCCTTGGCGTCGGCTTCGTTTTCGGAGGGCTGTGAGTTCCACATGGACCCTCTTCCTTCCCATCTGACGCCTGACCCTCAAGCTTCCCACTCATCAACAACGGACTCAACTATGCCAAGTTGGATTCCTCTATCTCGGGTGCTGCGACTGGCCTGAAACAGAAAGAGATCGACGAGAAGCTGAAGCGAGTGCCGGCCTTTGCCGTCACCGACGACCAGGCAACCTTGATGATGGCAGGAGATGCTGCTAGCAGTGACAGCGGTCGTGCAGGGAACTCCGTATGTCGCTGAGTACCAGGGCAAGAACAGAGGATACTTCTTCCTCAACCCCAAGGATGCGGAGAAGTTCAGGGATAGAGTCAAGGTGAGAGTGGGCTGTCTGGTGGAAAGGCCGCTCAGCGTCTGCAATAGGAGCTGCAAACTCAGGGGAGCTCGGTCTCTGTTCGGACGACCACCCTAGATGAGGCCATCAAGTACATCAAGTCAAAAGCGAGTGAGTGTGAGAGGAGGGAGCGAACCCGGGGCTGACCGACGGCGCAGACTCTGACCCATTCGAGATCTTGCCCTATGGAGAGGAGGTGCGAGGACAACCCCCCCCTTCCCATTTTTCCCTGCAACTTCCCTCCTCCCCCCTCTTTCTTTTCCTTTCCTCTTCCCCCTCTTCCTTCCCCCTCCCCTCCGTTGATGCAGCCCTTGTCGTCAGATTGAGATCGCAAGGGGCATCAAGAACCCAGAGAACTGCGACATCTGCTGGGGTGCTGAGGGGGTAAAGGAGAAGATTCCGGTGTACCTTGTGGAAGGTGATTTTCACAGCTCCGCCCTCCTGCCTCCTCCTCATGATGAGTCCTTGTGCTAGGACTGGGACTGCAGAAGGACAGCAAGGTCATCACACCTCTGTTTTTCGACAAGGTGGCTGCGGTCAGGCTTGCGTGTTGGGACTGAGTGCAAGCCAGGCAGGAGCAGAGAGCTTTTACAGGCAAGCGTCTAAGACCGGAGAGCCCAAGTTGCAGGTCAGGGGAAAAGCTTGTCCTGCCATCTGTGCAGGACTGAAGTGAGCACAGGTGTTGGATCTCAGCGCTCTCATAAAGAAGATGAGGAAGGGCGGGAGCACCGAGTAATCACGATAACAAGTCCAGGAGACTCCAACTGATTCGGTTCCTTCAGGTTCAGGAAGGTTGTTTTCTTCCCCAACAAGGACGCGATTGAGTATGCCACCGGAAAGCCAGCTCAGATTCTAGCAAGCGATGGCAAGAGCCCATCAACCATCTTCCCCCCTGAGAAGCCCTGAGCAGCGAGTGCAAGGAGGTCAAGATATTTCACTGCTATTGCAACAACTATGGTACAGAGCAACTCGATTGCACTGAGCAAGGAAGTCTTCGCTAGTCCTCCTCCACTTCATCGTGTTGCAAGTCCCGCAGGCGGCAACGCATGAATCCTTGTTGTACACCCTCACCTGCCCCTCCTCTCAGTCACCCGAACCTCCTTCGTCTTCCAAACCTGCGTCACCACACGGTCCAGCCCGTTGTAATGCTTGCCCGGAATCGTCTCTTTGCCGCAGTAGTGACAAGGCTTCGCAACGATGGCTTGAAAGTCTTCCTGTGATAGCGCGTAGGTCTTGGACTTGGTCAGGTAGCCAGACAACCTCTTGGGCATGAAGTTGTCCCGGAAGGCCTCGGGGTAGCGACCGAAATCGCCGAGTCCATTTGCCTGACGAAGATCAATAAGGAGTGAGAGGAGGTTGGGGGGGGGGGTGAGGGGGGGGGGGGTGAGGGATGGAGGCAAGGGGATAGAGTGCTCACGGTTGCAACGTGCTTGCAAATCGCGACAAAGTCTTCCTGGGAGTGATTGTGCTTCATCTGGTTGCAATCGGAACATGCAGGAGCGGTGTTGTTGAGCGTGTATGCTGGGATGGAGTGATCGATACGATTGATCCCATTGATCCCCTGCGAGTTCTCCTTTGCCGCACGACCGCAGAACGCGCAACTGCCATGGCTGTAAGCATCACCGTTGGTCCGAAGGGTTCTTACTTCCGCCTCATTATGGCTTGTGCCTGACTATCGAGCAGGTTCCATGACAGCCTCTTCTCGCTGGCGATCTTCTGGTAAGTTCTGATCTGATGGATAGTCACGACAGAGAGAGTCAGAAACATGGGCAGAGCAGAGACCTTGACGATGGACGGGCATCCCTTGCCAGGCTTGCGCTGCAAAAAGGTCAGTTAGCAAACTTGGCAGCGACGAAGCCTCGATCACGATGATAGTCTTCTTCTCCTCCTCAAGAGGTTTTCTGCATTGTTGGCACATCATAGGAGAACTCTTTCTTTCTTCATCCCCCCGGGGATCATGAGCAGCTTTGCCGGCATTGCGGCTGGCAACCTGTTGACCCAAGGTGAAAAAACTCTCCAGACTGGTCTGGTTGTGTTTGCTCCTCGAGTGCCGACAGGAGTAGCAAATGATGTTCAAGGCGGAGGACGGGGAACTTCGCTTCTTCCTGTGCATGTCGATCAGTGAAGGAGATCGGCCCAAGTGCGCAGGACCTTGCCGTCTTCCTTCCTGCTGGCAGCTCCAACGACGCATCATCGAGCTTTGGCGAGAGCGTGGCATCGTGGCAGGATGCGAGTCGGGTGTCATCAAGGAGGAGAAGAAGAGCGAGAGAGAGGAGGAGGGAGAGAGAGAGAGAGGGTCTGTACATGTCGCATGCTCCTGCCGATCGCCATGGTCTCATACTGCAGCCATGGCGGTTCAAAAGCTTTCACATGTGTTACACGCCCCAAGGACGGTCCCTACCCCCATGAGATTCATTGCAATCAATAACCCTTTCTTTGACCAGGCATGTGAGGGAATGTACCGGTACTTTGTCAAAGACCACCGGTAGTGAGATCCTCTTCCATGGCGTTCGCTCAAGTATGTCGATGACACGTCGCGAAGGCGGGGGGAGAGGGAGGGTGAGGGAGTGAGGAGCAAGGGGAGAGGTAGAGCTCATGGATGGACTGAGATAGGACAGGGAGGGAGGCCAGGGCAAGGACACAAAGGTGCGGAGGAGTCAGGGTGCGGAGGAGGCTGAACAGGGGACGCGGGGAGGGAACCTGGCGCTTCATCTGGGCATCGCAGGCGTCAGACTCCTGTTTCATACCTGCTCACCAGGATGAAATGGTGGGTGAACCTTGCGGGTGGTGTTTTCTCTCTGGGGATTTGCCGTGCGGGGTATGTTGCCTACGTGTATCGTCCTACTCCGGATTATTCCAAGGAAGGGTTCGGGTATGAACCGACCAAGAGACGACAGATCAACTTGCACCAAGAGCCTGTCGAGCTTCTAGTTGCCAGGAACATCACCATGTCCCTCGGCAAGCTCGTCTCTGAGTTCCTCATGAGGCGGTTGAACTCCCTCCAGGTCGTCGAAGACTCGAGGCACGAAGCCTGGCTCGCGAGGATAAGGAGTAGGCCCGCGGGCATCCCCCTCATCACGGTAGCCAACCATGAATCCTGCTGCGACGATCCGGGGCTGATGGGAGCGCTGACTCCATGGGACGTTGCCATCGACCCCATCCGCATGCGCTGGGGCCTCTGCACCCAGGAAATTTGCTTCCCCAAGGGCAAACATCTGATCCACACCTTCATCGGGTGCGGACAAGCGCTGCCGATCCGGAGAGGAGGAGGAGTCGACCAGCCGCTCCTGTTCGACGTGGCGCGAGAGCTCGCAGCAGGGCGATGGGTACATGTGTTCCCTGAGGCCAGGGTGGTCCAGTCCTGCACTATCGGCCTTGACCCCCTCACGCGCCGGACGGCGGACGAGTTGAGGGAGATGGGGAGGCTCAAGTGGGGAGTGGGCAAGCTCATTGCGCACTCCCCGGTGACTCCCATCATCATCCCCCTCTACCACAAAGGGATGGCTGGCGTCATGCCGCAGAAGAACAGGTGGGTTTGTAAGGACGAGCAGACGTACGACTACGACAACAGGCTGCTCTCTGTCTTCCCGAGGGGAGGAGGATACGTCGTTGTGCGGTTCGGAGAGGAGATCAAGGTAGACGACCTGATCTCTGAGCACGAGAGCCTCTACGGCCCGCTCCCCAAGGTGACAACAGAAGGGCTGCAAGACGGCATCATCAACTGCCGTTGGGAGTCGACGCAGCAGGAGAAGCTCTTGTACAGTGCGATCACGAGGAGGATAGAGCATGCGCTCCTCAAGCTCGAAGAAGACTCGAAGGAAGCGCTCGAGTGCCCCTGCACCCGGTTCGTCCACAAGCGAACGTGAAGAATAAACGACAACTTCGCAATGACGCATTGCTGAACCCAATCAAACATTCAACTATCTCAATCTCATCTGAGCCAAAGACCTGAGCTGAGCTGCCCTGTTCTGATCTGAGCTACAAGGTTGATGAGCTCGCAGTGAAAAACTACCACATTTCAAAATTTAATCTTCCATCAAGGCGGTTAATCTCTGTCATTTCTGTTGTGTCCGTCTCACAACAGCTCGATGCCATCTGCTTAGTAGCCCTGGTAGTAGGCCTTGCGCGGAGCTGCGTTGGCCCACGGCTGGTACCTGGCGCGGTAACGGTAAGAAAGGAATCAATACAAGGGCTACTCACTTGGGGTCCAAGATGTTGGAGATCTTCTCATGAACTCCCGTGTACTGGGAAGTGTGGGGAGTGGAAAAACGCTTCTGAAACTTCTTGTTCTCGGCCTCGATCTTGGCAGCCTTGGCAGCCAAAGCCTGACCACTTGGTTAGCATACAGTTCAACGGTGCTTCACCTTTGAAACCTGGGGAGAGTTGTTCTTGCGGATGTTGGCGATGGCGATCCTGTCTTCCCAGGAGTTCTGTCGGCTCCAAGGAGCGAAGTAGCCCATGTTTTGCATGATCTTGGATGGAAATTGTTAGAAGAATGTTGTGAGGAAAAGCGGGAGCTACAAGCAGCAGCAGGGCAAGGGAGAGCTCGAGAACAAGTAGATATGGGACTTACTCGTGCATACTGCTGGGGCATGGAGAGCTTCTTAGCGTGCGAGTGCTTCTGTGCAGGCTGAGCAGTGCTCATCTTCTCCATGCGCACGCGCTTGCCGTTGAGAGATTGCTGGCACCCCATTGGGTCATTGCCGGCAGCAAGGTCATGAAAGGACTCACCATGACGTTGATCATATCGAGGTCAGTCTGCGGGAAGCTGACGAGAGCCGTTCGCCGAGTAGCCGTGATGTTGACCATGGCGAGGACGGAAAGAAGAGCGACGCCAGCCATGAAGGCGGCGAAGGTGCGACGATCGTCTGCCATGGTTTCTGAAGAGTCAGCTGCGGCAGTGCTGCGGGGCAGTAAATGTACACTAGGCCATTGGCTAGGTAAAAAGTCCGCGGGTCAAGGGCAGAACTAAGAGCTAGGGTGCGGAGGCCACAGACCAGGGGTAGAAGCTATGGTCAAATTATCTATCAGGATCAAAGGGAAAATGGAGAGCTCTATACTACTATGGGCAATGATTTGATTATATTAGCTGATCTACCATGCCGCAGTGCCGTAACCGAAACCTGACCGCCTCCATGGTTGTAGTGAGCCCATAGCCCTGGGACTAGGCGGGCAACCAACGAGGAGGAGGAGGACGGGGCGAGAGAACTTGCAAGGGTCGAAACGGTTCACCCAGTGAATGCCGTCGAGCCTCGGAAGATGAAGGCAAAGTCTGTCCTGTACTTGGAAGCTTTCGCGGCTTGTGCTCTGCTCGCAGGAGCTGGCGGTGATACTGGGCCACTAGGACAAGGGGTACAGTGCCATCTGACCTTCCCCTCTGCTGCTCTGCTTGACTTGTGCGCCGTTCCGTTAGGGAGTTTACGAAAAGGATGGAACGTTCCTAACGGGAGTGACTGGAGCCATGTGGCCAAGGCCAAGAGCTGATGATTTCACCAGAGCAGGACTGGCAGGTAGTTGAGAAAGTGGAGCAGGTGCGATGAGTCATGGAGGGTCATCTGAAGCTCTTTCAAGGACTGAACTGGACGCGGCTGTCATGGTCGAATGTGGACTGCTGTCAAAAGATCAACAAAGTGAAGCAGTGGGAGGACGTCAGGACGGGAGTTCCGGACTGTTTCTGCAGAGACATCCTGATGCAGTCAGAGTACAAGACCTCCTCCTTCTGCATGCTGCAGCAGGTTACCTGCTGATTTTCATAATTCTCATCTATTACTGTCCTTCTCCCTTTCCCTCCCCTTTCCTTACACTCTCTTCTCTGTCTTTGTCAGGCGTGTGAGAACGCGCTACGAGACTTCAACAAAGTGTTCGGAGAAGGCTACATGGCGAATGGGCGGGCAATACATACCAAGCCTTCTGCATCTTTATCGCCTGACGTTTCCCAGGCTGACGAGTGGGACACGGAGTCTCCCTTGCGCTCATGCATGCACTCGTCCGGGGGTGAGGGCCTTGAGCTTCTCGTGGGTCGAGAGGAGACTGAGGGTCGTGTCGATAGGTCGCTGGAACGTCGAACCATGCGGGAAGAAGAGCAGCGGCACATCCTGGACGGTGCGTGCTGGAGCTGACAAGCTTCGACATCCTTGCAACCTGACGTCACTTTCCAGGACCCCTTCGGTCGTCAGACAACTCCTATCCAAGATTACATGCCATCCAAAGTCAGGACAAGCATGTCAAGCGTCGTTGTCTTGCTGCTCACCTGCTCTCTTGCAGACCTACGGCCAGGTGGTCGTCAAGGGGGACGTCAACGACGTTCACAGGTGGCACTGGGTGCCTGGTGATCTTCCGATTGTCAAGGTTTGCATTTGAGCGGAGGCTGGTAGCACCTCACTTGAATGCAGAGAGAGTGGCAAGGAAAGATGGCGGGGGACTTTAAAGTTGAGGTCGTGGAGGGATGAGGGTGGTGAAGCAAACGGCCTGATGGAGTTGTGTAGCCCGGTATCCTTGCGGGTTCAAAGGTGTATCCAGGAGGTGATCATCCAGCTTGTTGCATGTGAGTGAGATCCTGCGCAATGAGTGCGGCGTATTGAACGATGACATTGGAAATTGCTTTTGCAGGAAGGAAAACGGAGCTATCTCCGACTGTTGCAAGTAGTCGAAAGGTTCGGAGTGACTGAGATGGCTGAAATGCTTTTTTGCTCCCTAGAAACTCCAAGAGGATGCAATGGAATTCTCCAGAGAATGCGGTATCATGACGGCAAGTCAACAATCTTCTGCGCTCTTGACGTTTGTCGTTTGACAGGTGCAAGCAGACTGCATGTTTGCTGTCAAGGTGCTGGAGGAGTGTGTGCCGAGAGATGTTGCAATGAGTTGAGAGACCAGAGAGCTATTTGCGCTTACCACTTCTGGGAGTGCGATGCTTCCTACCCTGGTGTGTTCTTTCGTTCACCTCCTTATCCTCTTTGCATCAATCCTTTTATCCCTCTCTGCCTCCTGGCTCCCTGCTCTTGCAGCAGCCACCTGACAATTTCTGATTTCATGTCCTAGACGCCATCTACAACTCTGTGTGCCAAGATACATGCACAGACATCGGGGTGATGACTCAAAGTTGCCAGAAACATTCGTAATAGGTTGAACAACAGAAGCTTTGCGGTGTTGTGCCGTCCACGGGCAGAGCTCTGCAGCTGAACTCTTTCACGTTTCACTCTTTCCCTTCATCCTTTCAAGTGACCATTGCCATAACAGGATCGGCAATTTTTATTTTCGTGGGTGCAGCTCGAACACAAGGCAGTACGTGAAGGTAAATCGTGTGTGGATTACAATGATGAAATGAATCTAATATTTGCACAGGATTGCACAAGTCAAGGCCTGAATTTGAAAGGATCGTTTAATTGGTATCTATTTCTCGCTTTCACCCCCCTCATATTGCTGTACAACGTCGAAAGAATAAGTTTACCAGCATGGATATAGTACATGTCTGAACACGCAGAGCAAGAATAATAAAGAAGAATAACAATCCGCTGCTTCCATCACTTCTTCCTGTTGCGGACAGCAGCCACAAACGCCTGTTCTTATGAGTCAAGAAGCTTGGAGAACAACAGAAGGTGCTTCATCGAACCTTGATTTGGCCCTCGCACTCCTCAGACTTTGCAGTCTTCATGAACTTTGGGATGAAGTCGAAACTCTGAAACTCGTGTCAAGTTCTCACAACCCTTCGTGGCAACAGCACCTTGTCATCCAGTCCCATGTCCTTGAAGGTGTAGATCAGTGCGCCGACAGCTATGTCGCTCGGTCGCAAGAAGATTGCCTCATGGCAGCACAGTGCGATCTTGATGTTGGCTTCAATGTATGTCTGAAACTTGTTCCTGAGGAACCTCGAGGCAAGATCCAGCAGTTTGTAGAGTACATCAGAAGCTGATGAAAGAGAGGTTGTCAGAAGTCCATAAACTTGCTAGATAGATGCATCTACCTGTTAGAAAGTCTAGATGGTGGTCGAGAACCTCCCAAACAAAGAGCTCTGCTGATCGCAAAGATGTAATGGAGCATCCCTCCCCAACCAGACTCGTCACGTCGGCAAGCCTGGGCGACAAAACCTCCACGAACTTGCAGGACATCTGGAAGCATGCAAGAGGTACTTCAACACAGAAATGCTTGGGAAACCCCTCAAATTGCCCGCTTTCGCCGGACTGATAGAACCTCGTGTCGCCCACCACGATGTTCTCCAACACTTTCGACATGAACTTGTCGAAGATGGTTATCGCTCGGATAGAAGTCGCCGTGGACACGGAAAATCTCCTGCTTGCCATCACAACCAGCGATACTGCCGCGTCACGTGTCTTCTTGTAACTGATGAGGAACCTTTGCTGTGCATCCCGGCTGAGCGCATGCATCAGCATGTCTGCTTTATCAACACCCCAGTCCGGAGACAGCATAAGCTTCAGTTCTCTCACCCGGGGATCGATGCTTACTTTCTTCACCGGGCGTCGAGGGGTTCGTGCTCTGGCACTCCCATACGATATGGAGTTCAGGACTTCCTTGACAGCACGATCGGGCAAGGCACACGTGTTGGGGAGCTGACGCTCTTTGCGCAAGCATGACTCCTTCGGGGTTTCGTTGAGAGAGGAGGCCTCCACCATGATGTTGAGATCAAATGACCTTGCCTTTTTCAGAGGGGGCATCAGATCTTCATCGTCAGCGGCGCTTGAAACCTCGAGAGGCCTGCAGGCCTGCTGGTCTTCGTGCAAACCGAGGATCATTCGGAAGTCCTCAATGCTCTGGAGGAGTCCGACTTCTTCAAGATTGAGGCTCTAGAATCTTTCTCCTTTACCTGCCAACAGTATGCTAGCAGTTGGATGGTGCCAGTGACTGATCCGTCGACAGTCGAACAATGCCTCGAAGTTCGATTCGGTCCCCTTTTCCCTAGACCTCGTTGCAGCTGGTCTCTCAAGCCCCTCCTTCCTGACAGAGACAGAACTTCACGCAGAAGCACGGCAATCTTTCCTCCTTGAAGCTCTCTCCCTTCAATCCGATCTCGCACTTGCTCCTGCTTCTTCCTCTCACACTCTCGCTCGCTCGCTCGCTCGCTCTCCTTCCCCCTTCCCTTCCTAGGACCTCTATAATTCCACTGGTGTACCCCCTTTTCTTATCGAAACTACTGTACCCCCATCTACAACCATTGGTTTACCACCCACCTCCTTCACATGGTACCCCTCATTCCGAGGACGTATACACGGGACGTATCTCACATTTGGGTATGACCCACCCCTATTTTACGACACTCAATTTCTGTACCTCCTTCACTACCAGCCCCTTTCACTTTCTTGCAGTGGTGTTTGCATCAGTGTGGTTGGTACCCACCCACCGTATGAAGATTATCCAGTTTTTCCCATATATTGTACCCACCCCCCCTTCATTGTAAACTTGCGAAACGTACCCACCTATTGGTCTGATGGACCCTGAAATTAACATCTTACTACCCTATCCAAGTACAAATGATGATATCACCCTACCCACTATATTTGCGACTCATGCCAAATCACGGGTCTTCTTTTCGTGCAGTGGGGTAGGGTAGTACCAACACCAAGGATTCCCCTCAAAAAAAGAAGTTGCTTCCCCCTACCCCACCCACCAACTCTGCACCCAAGCCTTTCTCTTTGTAGCACCACCCACCTTCAACTTTGGAATTCACCACCCTCACCTACATTTTAGTCTAAATTTGTGTACGTAAACCACCGGTACTATGCTATAGATGCCATCATCGGAAAAGTCTTATCTGTACAATCCCTACCTACCCCACCTGGGACCATTGAGATCCGACCTTCTATTTTTTACCATCGCTAGTTGACTCCAACCAAACTAAACTTTTTCGCATAAGAACCCCACTTTGGTAGTGGCAAACCAATTTTGCGGTACAATCTGGTGCTCCAGATTCAGCCCACCTGCAATCTCAAGGAAGATCACGCCAAATGCAAGGAAAATCGACTCCCCCTTTTCAAGGAGCACACCACCCCTTCAATCCTCTCCATGAAGGGGGTGGGGGGTACCCGGTTGTTCCCTACACTGGCAAAAGTAAACCTCCGAAAAAAAGTGCCCTGCTACGTCTTGATATTCGGATGATTCGCAACAATTCACCAGGCTTCCCACATGACTAATAATATTACTCAGCACGTCCCGCCACTGTCGGAACTGAGTCGGAAACTGAGCCGGGCCCGGCCGGTGCCGGGCAGTGTTTCTTCCAACTTGTCAGTTCAGAGCCGGGCGGCCTACCGTACCGGGTACGGTCGGGGGCCCATCAGTGATCCGACCGCCGCGGCGGCCGGCTAAAAAGATGCCTCGGACTCTCTTTCCGATTCAGCCACTGTGACTTCCGACCGGCGTCTTTACTCAAAGTTAAGTTAAAAAGCAGAACGAGGACAATCAGGAGAGACGAGGAGGCTTGACCCTGACCGTGACAGGCTGTCGCACAGGCCAAACCGTCGAGAAGAGAAAAGACAGCGAGAACCAAACCTATTCCTGCCGACTGCTGGACTTCGGCACTCTTTTCGGAAGTTCAAGTTAATTCTCACTCGGAGTCAGTCCGACTCAGTCACAAGCCTTCAAGCCTTCCGAGGGCGGAGGTGTCCGATCGATCCCGGGCTCCGGGAACTGGCCGCCGCAGTATTCCGGCGGGCCGCGCCCGCCGCCGAAGCCAACGGTTTCAATCAAGCCGGGCCGGCCGGGCCGCGCCGAAGCTTCAATCATTTTGAATCATGCAAGCCGCTGACTCAGTGAGTCACTGCGGTGGGCGGCCGCCGCCCGGCGCTACCGCCTAGTACAGTGTACTGAGTCGGAGCCTAGTACTGTCACGGTCGCACCGTCCGTTCAAGTTGGCGTGACCGTCGGCGTGACCGCCCGTGATCCTGTTCAGATGGGATCGGATCTCAAGTGTAAACTGTCAACTTCAAAACTTGACGCCTACGGGTCTCTTTCTCACTAAAATCACCATCTTTCACAGGGTGGGTGGGGGCGAGTTGTACGAAGGCGAGGAGCTCCCGAAAACAGCACAAGGGATACGGTTGGCAGAGCACTGCTTGCAATCGCACAGTTAGTCACGAGTCAGCTACAGACTACTTACATCCACTGAGACGGCGACAAGAACGATAAACAAAGAGATCAACAAAGTCGGATCAACCAAGATCAGTCAGAGGCGTCTCTCTGTGATTGCAATTGCTGATGCAATGGATGAGGAGCAAGGCGATTGTGAACATACGACCATGCTCAAGGCTCTCCCCTCCCTCCTCCTCCTCCTCCGAGCAGTACCCCGAACAAGCAGCTCCTTACGCTCTGGAGGGCTCGACCCTCTCGCAGAGTCCCACCGACCCTCGTTCAAGTCAAATCAGCTCTGGCAGGCGTTCCTCCCTCAATGAGGACTGCCCCATCCTCCTCGAGCTCGCCACACATCACGACGTCCTCAAGGAATCTGACCTGGCAAGGTGCGACTCGTTCGTTCTTCATCACTCGTCTGTGACCATCGGGGAGCTGCTCGGGCAAGGGTCTTTCGGAGAGGTCAGACGAGGCGTATGCAAGGGCAGGCCAGTGGCCGTCAAGACCCTGAGTCCCAAGCTCGACGTGCGGTCGAGGGAAGGGAAGGAGCTGCTCAAGGAGATCGAGATGTTGAGCCATGGCTTCAAGCACTGCAACGTGGTGGAGTTCTACGGCATCTACGAGCACGGCGGGCTGCCATGGCTGGTGATGGAGCTGATGCCAGGAGGGAACCTCGAGCAATTCTACGAGACCAAGAAGCAGGCGCGACGGAGCCGGCAGTGGCGACCAAGGACCAGCAGGGCAGTGTCGTGGATAGGGGACATCCTGAGCGCCTTGACGTACCTGCACTCGCAGACGCCTCCTGTGCTCCACCGCGACATCAAGCCAGGCAACATGCTGCTCTCTGCTGGAGGTCGCTCCATCAAGATCGGAGACTTCGGGCTCAGCCGCCGGTGCCCTCACTCCTCCTTGGCAGAGCCCACGACGACTGTGACGTCAGGGCAGCAGATTCAGCACGCTGCTGGGAGCGAGCCTGGCTACAACCTCACGGGGACGACTGGGACGTTCCGGTACATGGCACCGGAGATCTATCGAGGAGAAGCCGACTACACGGCGGCAGTTGACGTGTACTCGTTCGGTCTGTTGATGTGGTTCATCTTTGCCGGAGGTCATCCCTTCAGCAACATGGACGGGCAGACAGTCGCCCAGCTGGCAGCGACGTACGGCTACTTCCGGCCGCTCGAGCTGAAGAAGAGCATGATGCCCAGAAAGCTCGGGGATATGATGAAGCGATCATGGGCCATGAAGGCAGAGGAGAGGCCAAGGGCGGAGGAGCTTCTTCGTGAGCTGGAAGTGTGGAGGATGGAGCGCGGAGGGTGCGGAGGATGGTTGATGGTCTAAGGGAAGGGCCGAGCTTAGGTTAAAAGCATGGCAAGCTCGGGCATGCGATTGGTGTAGTGAGGGTTTCAAGTCGATTGGCTGCGGGTGTGATATCTACGGTATAAAAATGACGAGTAATCGTTGAAGCCGGTCATCTTGCTGCCACGGTGGCACTGGAATGCTACAGTGGGCTGCTCGGTATGCGACCTCCCGCTGAGTCCCGGGCTCGACAACGGACTGAGGGCCTGAGAGCCCTACGGTGTTCACTTGATTCATAGATGAGTTCACCGGTCTGAGTGACTGACAAGGTACCGGTACTAGCCAGCACTGGCTGGCCCGTTAGTCATACCCGGCGGCAACCCCGCTGAGGAGCAGGACGATGCCAACTAGCCCCACATGGAAGAGGAGGAAAGATGAGGAGAGAATTGACCCTGATGTGGAGGCGGCGCAGCTGGGGAGCAGCTGAGCTGAAGGCCTCCTGCCTACCTGCATCCCCTTGGGCCCCACGATGACGAGCGCGTACGACTGACCCTGAGGAGCAGGGACGCGATGGGCAGAGACACGCACCGAGATTCCGTGCTGGGGGCTGAGGCCGAGGAGCCCTGCAAACTTCGCCTCCACCACCACCCGCTCCACGTTGTTCACCTCGTCCCTCCGAGGGTCAGGGTGCGCTCCCCCGAGAGGGTCGTTGGTGCGGAACTGGCCATAGGAGGGGAGGGTGTGCGCGCCGTGGGGATCGATGACGGTGACGTTGAGATCAAGGTCGTTGACCAGCGCCCGCTGGCTGGACGGAGAGGCAGGAAAGTCGGTCCACACGAGGACGATGACGTAGTCTCTGCTCCATCCCCCAGACACTGTCAACTCCTCCACGTCCCCCGTCCTCAGCCTCGTCTCTTCGTCCTGCACGAAGAGCTCGAAGGTCCCGTCAAGGGGGAGAACGTTGCGCAGGACCGGCCTCCCGAAGCCGCTCGCCTCGTTGGGCGTCTTGTACATCTTGTACCGGGTGCTCTGGAACGAGTAGAAGCCCGAGGGAGTCACGCAGCTGGCCAGCAGCATCGCCTTGACCAGAGCTCCTGACGGAGCCTTTCCACCAGCCCCAGCCCCAGCCCCAGCCCCAGCCCCAGCTCTTGTTCCTTGCTCTGACGACATTCTTCTCTTGAGGTACTGCCTAATGAGCATTGCTGATGCCGCAACGCCAGGAGCTGCGGAGGAGGAGCCAGTCAGGGAGGTGAGAGCAGCTGAATATTGAGTTCCAGAAGGAAGCGAGCAGAAGGGACCGGAGGAGGGGAGAGATTCTCCCGCTGCTCGCGCACTCACTACGTGGCTTCCCACTGCCACCATGTCAGGCTTGATCCTCCCGTCCATGGTGAAGCCCCTGCTCGAGCCAGCAGCGACGTTGTCAGGGGACATGCCTGGCCCGGAGAAGGAGGAGAAGCAGCAGTCCTCCCTCCCCTCCCCACAGCACTGAGACAGAGAGCACTTGCTCTCAAAGGAGGACAGGCAACACCTCGAGCTCCCAAATAGCCCGCAGCCAGCGGCGACAAAGGGGTCGGTGTAGGCGTAGGAGGCGACTGACGCGTTGACGCACGTCTCTGTGAAGCCGATGGCGATGGCGTTCTTCGAGGTAGCGGGGGCCCCGACTGTCTGCTTCGAAGCTCGTTCCCCGTCGTTTCCTGCAGCCACGATAACAAGTGCGTCACGGTTCTCCCAGGTGAAGAGGTCGATGTCCTGAGACTGCGAGGTGTACCGGTTGCACGCAGTCGCCTCCTCCGTCGCTCTTACCACGCAGCCCCACGCCAGCAGCATCACGCGGGCACCCGACTGATTGTACGGGTCCGGGAAGAGATGTTTGTGAAGGTCCAGAGGAGGGGAGAGCTCTCCCTTTCCCACCATGATGTCGGTGAAGGCAATCTTCGCCTCCCTCGCCAACGCGTTGTAAAGAGACGCAAACTTCACGTCCTCCGCACTACACATGAAGCCAGCATCCGATGGACACGCTGCTGATCCTGCGACAGCTCCCGACACGTACGTGCCGTGACCCCTCTCAGCATCTCCTGCATCTCCGCAAGGCCTCTGCTCCTTGGCATCCTTGGCGCAGGCACCACAGATGGAGCAGTTTGAGTAGGAGAAGTAGCTCACAATCTTTCTCTTCCTGGAGTCGAACGTGTTGAGAGGCAAGGGCAGCTCGTCCCAGAACATGCAGTTGCGATGGTCTATGCCGGAGTCTGCTATGGAGACAACCTCCCCTTCCCCATTCAGAGCTCGCACGAACAGATCGTCTTCCCTTCCTCCGCACGTTGGGTCCCCCGAGGAGAGCAAGGAGGAAACAAAGTTCCCCATTGCAACAAGCTTCGGCCTGGTCTCTACCCACTCGATCACATTCTGTCGAGCAAGAAGTCGTGAGACAGCTCCCATGCAGACCTCACATGACTGGCATGAGACGTGAAGCTTCCTCTCTGACACCATCTCCGCTTCAATCTCGACACCATGATCTTCAGCAACACCAGCCCTCCATCTACTGATCTGCAGGCGGTAAAATCCCTTGACAAGGTCCCTTTGGTCGTGTATGTAGCTCGGGAACAGCTCTCGCCAGTCAGCCAGCAAAGCAAGGACTGAGCAGGGTGAGTCCGCCTGCGGTCCGCTCGTCGCTCTTGTCCAGGGAGAGGGCAGAATGTCGAGAGACATCTGTGAACACAAGCATACTCCGTCACTGACAGCAGCTGCAACTTGCACATCTGCAACTTGCTTCCTACCTTGTCAGTTTCATGCTGCATCCGTATGCCTTGCACGAACCCCCTTCTTCTCAACACCTCGATCTCCCTCTCGTCAGCAAAGACCTGATCCATTCCAAGCACATGTTACAACCTTCGTCTGCGCTCTCAATGACAACTCTTACCATGTACGTGTCATCGTGTAGGTACTTTGGGTGTCTTCCTCCTACGCAGTCCTCCACATCCTGAGTTGGAAAAGTCATCACAAGAGGGAAAGTTCTGCGAGTAGAGGGTCACCTTTCGTTGCGATGGAGTGAGAGACTCATTCACTTGAACAAGATACCTCCGTGCTGAAGCACTCACACACAACAATCGCTCTAAACTTTCACGCCCTGCATGGCGGCAACCCGACACATCATGGTGGCTGTCTGGCTTTCCCGGAGACCAGCAGACCAGCACGAGGCATGCCTGCAGAAATCGCGTGCACCTCATCGCTATGGATCACCAGTTGCACTTTCTCTCAAACCCAATATTCAACACAACTCGTGAATCCAACTCTTTCCTCCAATGTGGTCGGCCTGAATCCCCAAGGTGCTGCATGCTCCGTCATCCCACACTTTCCTTTAGCTATCAATCGTGTCTTCTCTGTGTCCGCCCACCAGTTCTTCCCTCCCTCCCTCCCTCCCTCCCTCCCTCCCTCCCTCCCTATCGGAGCGATTCCTTTTACAAGACAAATGCAAACAAAACAAAGAAAGAATAAAAAAACAGACATATAAGCCTACACTACCCCATGTTTTCCACTCAATACACCCCCCTAGTCCTAATCCCTCTGGAGGATCTGCAGTACCCGTCGGAGGCCTGTTTCCATACCCCCCTGTAATACAAAGTACCCACCCTTTTATCGCTAATTCCAGTTGACAACATGGGGTTGTCCGAGACTTTGCAATTACCCCCACCCCCACCGCAGGATCCAAAATCCTGGCGAACATGCTGCGACCGGCCTTGATCGCGTGCATGATGGCGTCGGCGTCGGCCTTCAGCTCGTCGCCCTTCCTCCGCTTCTCCTCCCTCTCGACCTCTTCCTCTGTCTCTGTCAGGCCGAGGACGTCACCCGCCCAGGTGCGCATGATGGCCTTGTCGGGGACCGACCTGGCGAAGCAGCTTGCAGGGTACAAGTCAGTTGACGACCACGTCACCAGCGGGATGGTGGTGGGCCTCGGCACGGGTTCGACTGCTTACTTCGCTGTTGAGAGAGTCGGGCAGAAGTTGGCGAGCGGGGAGCTCAAGGACATCATCTGCATCCCTACCAGCGAGAGGACAAGGGAGCAGGCAGAGAGCCTCAAGATCCCCCTCTGCACCCTCAACGAGAAGTCCGTCCTCGACGTCGCCATCGACGGCGCTGACGCTGTCGACCCCAACCTCGCTCTTGTCAAGGGAGGAGGAGGAGCGCTCCTCCGCGAGAAGATGGTGGAGGTCATGGCCAAGAAGTTCGTCTGCATTGTCGACGACTCCAAGCTCTGCAAGGGCCTTGGCCCCTCCTTTGCCCTCCCGGTTGAGATCACTCCCTTCTGCCACATGCACACCTTGAGGACTATCGCCGCCCTCCCAGAGGTTGCTGGCTGCAAGGCCGAGCTCCGCCTGGGAAATGTCGCCACCGGCGCCAAGAAGGACGGGGACAAGCCAGCTGTGACAGACAACGGCAACTACATCGTCGACCTCTTCTTCGAGACTCCCATCAAGGACGTTCGCGCGGCTGCCAAGGCGCTCAAGAACACAGTCGGAGTCGTCGATCACGGACTGTTCGTCGACATGACCTACCAGGTGAGTCTTTTGAGGGAGGTCCATCGTTTCCCCTCCTGACCTCACCCCCCCTGCAGGTCATCGTAGCTGGCAAGGACGGCAGCTGCAGGTGATCTTGCCTTGCCCTTGCGCTCCAAGAGTTTGCTGACGTGGGTGCTCAGGGTCGCTGGACAGGGAGGAGACAAGCCCTGGTGGTGAAGGGCGGGGGTTCCTTAAGGATCAGCTGAGAAGGATTCTGACGTACACAGATCTGATTGAATGAAACATAGCTCCAACACCCGCTCAAAGTCTTGCTGTCCTCCCCGGCTCTACCCCCTCAGCCTCCCCCCTCCCCCTCCCCCTTCCCTTGACAGCTGGAAAGCACTTGCACGTGAGTAAGCTGCTCACACCCCAAGATCGCTTCGGCGATTCCACTGGTGGCTGCTGGGGTTGCGCAGCCTGTGCACGTGGAGTTTCCTCCGGCCTTACATGATCCTGTTGTTGAAGGGGACTGGACGTAGCATTCCACGCCTGCATGTGAGCCCGAACAGTCTGAAATCTCCGAGTCCTCTGCTCGTTCAAATCAGAAGGAGGAGATGGGGAATAGGAGGGGAAGAGAGGAACGACGAGGGGGTGTAGAAGGGATGGGAAGGGGGTCGAGGTAGGGGAGGGGGGGGAG